TTAGGACTATTTGCAAATTGGATAATTAGATTGTCCTAAATGTTTTAGACTGCATTCATAAATTTATCATACCTGCTTCTCAGAAGGTCTTCAGATGTCTGGCAGGGCAGACAGTGACTGAGCAAGCAGTCTTTTTAAGCATGAATTCTTGCAAATCGAATAAGTTGACTCACAAATGTCAAATTATTATCTTAAATATATTGATTCTTTTTGTAATCTTAATAGTTTTTTAATCTTTCATCTTAAAAATCTCAAGTCAAAAACCGATACTTACAAAAATGACATCATAATTATTTGATAATATCCTCTAATATGCCATGTATTCTTTTCCCTGTTTTTTTAGTTGCACATGGATACAATACCTTTATTTATTTATTTATTTATTTATTTATTTATTTATTTATTTTCATTTGGTGCTGAAGATCAAACCCAGTACCTCGTATGTGCAAGTGCTCCACCACTGAGCCATAGCCCCAGCTCCCCACCATGTTCTTTTAAGAGATAGAAATGCACAGAGATCAACCCAGTGATCACAGTTGTTATCTAAAACTTAAATATTCATATTTTAATTTATTTCGCCATTACAAAACTCTTCCCAAGGTTTCAGATTATATGTTTCCACTAAGGAAACATTCAGATTCCAGAATGACTGTTCTAGAGTCCTGGTAGAATCCCCTGATTCTTTCTGCTGGGTCATTGGGGTTCCCCCGGGCCTCTTCCCTGGAATTTCAGTTCACCACAAAGTAAACACACAGCCTCTGGGTTTCTTACCTCTTTCAACATCTATTACCTATCAACCAATTTGGACCTATGGACTCTTGTATGTCACCCCTGGTTATATCTGATGCCCTTTACTGCCTGATTGGTTCAGTGATGTCCTTCCTACTTGAATGATTTCTACATGGTTTCCACATTTTTCCTCTCAGCTATATATCTCGAGTTATTTCACAAACAAATATCAATTACCCATTAGGAAGCCTGAGTATACCAAATGACAAACCTCAGCCAGCTAGTTTTGAGTAAAAGAAGAGAATTTATTACTTCCAACATTTGGGCCTTCTAGGAATGCTTCAGGTGTGGCTGGAGTTGAAGCCATGTCAAAGGGATACTTTTATCCCTCTCAGCTCTGCATCCCTCCCCTTTGTGCCAGCTTCTTCTTAAGCAGGTAAAAATGAAGCAGCCACTGGCAGCTCAGGGTTTCATGTACATTTTTGCATTTTTCATTCTCCTTAGCATCTCTCCTGTGGTCCTGTAAATTTGGGAAGCACTACCTTAAGCAGAGCTACAGAGCTCATTACTGGACTTCATAGCTGCCAAGATGTCACGTACCCTCTGAATGTCAAAGAGAGTATGGAAGAGGCAGCAGCACACTGCCCTCCATCCCTGCTCTGGCAACTCCTAAGACTAATTTTCCTTAGAACTTTCAGGACTCATTGACCTAATCTGGGTGGCTCCTGACCATGTGTACTTTGGATTTGGAGGGAAGCTCCAGAGGTAAAGGAGCCATTGCTGGTTTTCCAAGTGCGGGGACAAGGCTTGGGTTCTAACACACTGACAGCTCTGGGGAATGTCAGGCCACCATTGCTGGTCATGGGCTTCTCCAGGCCCCTCGTCCTTATCTTGAGTTTCCCCCTCCCTCTGTCCCGTGGAGTCCATCACTGCCTTTCCCTCTGCGGGGCCAGCCCGGTCACAGGGATGCCCTGTAACTCAGGGTTCACCTTCCAACGTTCCAGGCACTGATGTGGGAAGGATGTGTGTGCGCCAAGTGCCACATGCCCCTCTGGAATAGTATATCAGTGTTGAAAGGCCACAGTGGGGGGAGGAACGGGTACAATTTCAAAGCACAAAATCTGGGACTGGGATTCATGGGCATCTGTTACTGACTTCCCTCCCTCCTCCCCACCAGCCACGCTCCTCTCCTATCAGTCCCCCTTTCTTCTTTATCAGACTATAAGACGTTTTAGATACACTAAATTCCTAACCCAAAAGAGCAGAAGTAATAAAAGACTCATGGGATTTTCTTTTAATCGTGAGAGGAAATTCGAGTCCATTTCCATATGTGACGCTTTTCTCAGCAGAGCCTCATGTGGTCACCAGGCTAGGTGAAACTGAGGCACAGAAGTTGTGACCTGTCAAAGAATTATGTGGGAAGGCAGCTGGGCTCCTAACCCACAGCCGGGGGCGAGTTGGCAACAGAAACTCTCCCTGAGCCTGGGCCACACATGAGCTCGGGAGATGTTCAGTCAGCACTCGAGCGCCTCTGGAGGCGGAGAGGACGCTTCCCCCAAGTGAGCTTGACATTGCTGCAGCGCCTTCCTGACCCTTCTCACAGCCTCAGTTTCCTCATCCTTTACAAGGGTGGTAGGCACCTGCCAGCGTGACTCTGAGGGGTGGTGCGTAGTTGGCCTGTGCTCCACCGGTGACTGCTGTCATAGTGAAAGGCCGAAGGATACAGACTAGAAGGAACACGTGTTCTGAAACCAGGCAGTTTTGCCCTTTCGGGCGTTCCAACCTGGACTGCATGCCAGTGATCAGCACGCTTGGTCCTTCAGCCTTGATTTCTTCATTTGTGAAATGGGCGGCATAACACCTACCTTGCAGGCGTGATGGAAGAACTGGAGAAACATAAGAAAGTGTGTGAACCTCCTGGCGGGATGCCTGACGCAGAGTAAGGGCTTCCTAGTTATCCCGGGGCTCCTGAGCCCTGTGCATATTGGGAAGGTAGAACAAACCTTCCTTTAACAGGGAAGCCCTGGGCTGGGGATGTGGCTCAGCACCACATACAAACAACGATGTTGTGTCCGCTGAAAACTAACTAACTAACTAAATAAATAAATAAATAACAAACAGGGAAGCCCTCAGAGCTCAGGGAAGCTAATGCTAACGGGAGGGACCCTTTAGGAACTCAGAAGGCCCCAGGGGGAGAATCTGAACCAGCATGGAAAGCCGGGCAAAAGAAGCAGAATTACCTGATGGAAGTTTGTGGGACCCTGGGGCCCTTGCAGATTCGCCTTCACAGGTAACTCCGCTCCCTTCGAGCCCTCCCCCTCCCCGCCTCATCCTGCCACTTGGGAATCACCTTCATGCCTTTCTTCTGCATCTTTCTGTGGAATCCTCCAGGTTGGCTCTTAGAAGCCAAATGAGAATGCCCAAGAGAAAGGTGGTGAAAGCAGTTTTCACCAAGCCGGGCGGAGCTCAGGATGTGGAAGCAGGCATCTTAGAAGCTGGTAGGATGGACGAAGTTTCGTGCCTGTGTTTGTAGACAGTGCCCTGGCTTTCAAAAACCTCAGCTGCCCAGCATTTCCCTGGCTTCATGCAGCCCCTTTGCCTGACCTTCAGCAAGACTCGCTGTGGAAGGCCGAGAGGTAGAATAACGTGGCTAAGTCATTGCTTTGCCATCAGACCTGCCATTCCTGGCGTGTGGCCTTGGACCAGTGTTCCTGGCCTCCCAAGTATCAGCTTCCTCCTGGGGAAGGGCGCCAAGTCATGATGGTATGTACCGAGGATTGACATAGTGGAAAGTGTCTGGCGTCACAGTAAGGAGACTGGCTCAGGAGTCTGAATGGCTGGATCCCCAGGGCTCCTGCTGGCTAGCTGTCTGACCTTGTGCAGGGTGTCTTGCTTTTCTAAGTCAGTTTCTCCACCAGTAAAATAGAAAAATAATAATACCTATCTCTTGCTACTGGATCAACTAGAGCAGTGTCATATTGATGTCAGAAGCTCACTCCTATGAGTTTCAGTCAGCAACTATTTATTGGGCACCTGCTGTATACCTGCCACTTCACAAATAAGAAAATACAACTGAGTGGGATGGTGGGCTTGATGAGTAACAACATGTGTCTCTGAGGAAGTAGCACTTCAGCTGGGATCTAAAAGAAAGGTAGAAAGGGAACAGTGTCCAGGAAATGGGACAACCAATGCAAAGCCCTGAAGAAAAGAACAGCCTTGACTTAGAAGGGACAAACACTCCTATGATCAGAGCCCTTGAGTGCACACTGGAGAGGGGGCGGAGAGACAAAAAGACGAGAGAAGGCCAAGGCAGGGGGCCTTGAGGCCATTGTAGGAGTTTGGACATTAGGTACCTGAGAGGCAGTTCTGGGATCTGATTGACGCTCCAGAAGGCCACTCTGGTTGCCAGACAGAGAATGGATTGTGAGGAAGCAGAAGTAGAACACAGGCCCAACGGCCTGTTTTCAGTAACCTAAGCAGAGCTGACAGCACTCTAGACTGCAAGGCGACGGTACAGAGAGCTGCATGCATTTGGATGTATTTTACAAAGAGAGGTGACAGGATCTGATGCTAGGTTAAATGTGCTGATGGTATTGGGCGATGGGGAGACAATAAGAAGGGGAAAAAAAGAGTCAAGAATCATTCCTAGATTAGACTTGAGCAGCTGGGGGATGATTTGAGGGTCAGGAAATGAAAAACTCTACTTTAGACATATTCTGGGACACTGTTAAAATCACAACTTATAAGAGAATGGACAGGTTTCGGTTGAGAATTGCCACTTTCCTTCCTTGGCATTTTGTTCCAGGAGTGGAGTACAGAAAATTCACATGGCAGCGTCTCTGCCCGCTCTAACCTCTGGGGAGAGGGGCGCATGATGGGTCTTTGCCTGCACATTTGCAGCTTTAGTCCCTAAATGCGCTGCTTCTACTCTGCCACTAGGCCTGGGGGAGAGCAGTTGACTCGTATGAAGTTCCTGAGGTAAAGGGGAGGGGAGGGCGGGGCGGAACATGGGCAGCATCCTTGGTCTCCTCTCCTCATGGAAGCACCCACATTTTGGGGCAGGTATGTATCAGCCAGCTCATCCAGGTGTCAATTCAAAAGCAAAGGATGGAAGGTACCTTTGGAGATGAGTCACATCCGAGGCAAAAGAGCTTAGTCTGAGACATTGTGACATAGTCTGGGCCTCTTCCTGGATGGTGAACATTGGTCTGCGCCAGCCTGGGCGGGAGCAGTGTGAGGCTTTGGTGCTCAGGTTGTCTTTATCTTGGCAGCTGGGATGACAGCAGCTCCGTCAGCAGTGGCATCAGCGACACCATAGACAACCTCAGCACCGATGATATCAACACCAGCTCCTCCATCAGCTCCTATGCCAACACACCAGCCTCCTCTCGGAAAAACCTGGATGTGCAGGTAAGGAGTGTGGTGCCCTCCCGGGCTCCTCCACTGGCCCCTGCAGCCAGGAGGCTTGGGTGTGTGGGCTGAGAAGCCCATTTGGGGAAAGCAGAATCCCCAGGTTGGTGAGATGCGGCTCAGCCTCTGGCTCCCTGTGCGCTCATTTCCCCAACTCTGGCCTCCACCTGTAAGGAAAGGACGAGGCAATGGGGCCGTGGAAACGGGGTCGGAGGCCTCACCACTCCCTGTGACCTTGGGAGATCACATTTACTCCCTTGACATTCTATTTATAAAAACAAACAAAATTATGTTGGGCTCTGTTGGCAGATCTTAGCCTGTCCCCTCTTTGCCAAAAGGAGCAGCTGCTGTCCACAGGTGTCCCATCTCTCAGGAGTGATGTGGGCAGAAACACATACTGAGGACCCTGGGCCTCAGTATGTTCTGGGCTGAGGTTGGGAACACTTCATCTGTGGTTCATGTCCCCTGCTCATGTCCTTCATTTGGCCTACAGTATTGTTATTCTTTTAGACAAGACTCCACATCAAGTTATTTTAAACTGCAGTTGTTAAACATGAAAAGTATGTCTCAGGTTCCTCTTAAAGAACTAGAAGCTAGCTGGGCGCGATGGCACACACTTGTAATCCCAGCAGCTCCTGAAGCTAAGTCAGGGGGATCGTGAGTTCAAAGCCAGTCTTAGAAAAAGTGAAGCACTAAATAACTTGGTGAGACCAGCCTCTAAATAAAATATAAAGTAGGGCTGAGGATGTGGCTCAGTGGTTGAGCACCCCTGAGTTCAATCCCCGGTACCAAAAAAAAAAAAAAAAAAAAAGAAGAAGGTATTGTTCCTTGTGGCAACAATTAACAGATGTCCAAGTGTCTGTCCCCACTCTTTTAACTAATGCTACAGCTTCCACCAACCAGCTGCACAAATTTAACATGCCCTCCTGCCTCTGAGGCAACCCCTACTTGAAACGCCCAGGTGTTTTTCAAATGGAGTGCCAATTCACATGGCACTTCATGGGCCCGATGGCATCCTTGTCGTGGCTGGTTCCAGTGAGCCCATTTACTAGTTGGGAAAATTAAGTGCTGTCTTCCCGGCTTGTCCCCAAGTTGGGGCTGACCAGTATGAGGACTGTTCGGCCATGGGTCATAGGTGAAGCTCTTTGAAAAAAGCATCTTCAGTAGTGGGAGCTTCTGTGTTGGGTGAACCCTGGGGAAGTCTGATTGGGACAGGCTCCCTGAGGGACCCCATCCCTCATCCTCCACTCCCCTCCTTCCCCATCTTCCTTTCTCGGCTGCTTTTTACTCGGTACAGATAGAGGCTGCATCTTTTGGCTTTCAAAGGTATCTCCTCTTTGTGGGTAGGTGTAGTGAAAGAACATATCAGTGCAGGGGGTGATTCTGGCCTCCAGAGACAGATGCTAACTGCATAATGAAATGTATTAGGTGCTGCTTTTAGAATTGCCTGTTACTCTTGTGTTGTCACTTTAGCAACTTCTAGGAGAGAGCAATGGTAGGCTATGGTGGTTGTATTTTTTAAAATTACTACCCAGAGAATGAAATGGGGGCATGGGGTTTTGTCGGGTGCTGGAGTTGTTCTGTATCCTGATCTGAGTGGTAGTTATATAAGTATGTTGTATGTGAATTTTATAAAACTTATTCAGGTGATCTACTTAAGATTGTGTGCTTCACCAAAAATCCATTTAAAAACATCAGACCAATAGAAATCTCAGGAACTTTTGGTACATTCTGTATGTCTACCACTTCAAGACCTATTTTTCCTTTATTTATTTGTTTGTTTGTTTGTTTAATTAGCTACACATGGCATTACAGTGATCTTGGCAATTCATACATTTCTGGTTTTATTTTAATGTTTTAAATTCAGGCAGATTAATCAGAAAGAACTACCCAATGAATAGTAAACCTCTTACATCTCTTAAAACAACTCCTGATCTGAATCAATGGACAGGTTTCTGTATGCTTACTATTCACTGGGCAGTTCTTTCCAATAAATCTATCTGAATTTAAAATATTAGAATAAAAACGGACAAAGTTGGTCTTAGGGTGACAGAAATGCAGACTGCACCAGTCGTCCTGAGATTTCTATTGCCATGGTATCTTTAAATGGATTTTTAGTGACATTCCCTTTGTTCCTGTCCAGGGAGCATCTCAAAATATTTGAATCAGCATAGTATGCAGCCTCCCACCCTCCTCCCTCACACCACTCTGAGGAATGCTAAGGGCCATTACTCCTCTCTGAGCAGCATCAAGCTGCAGGAAGATGTGTGTGTACCCTTCCCACAGCCGCTCCTGGGCCGTGCGTGGCTCATTGGGGTTCCAGTCACATGCTGGTGTACCCCAGGTGCGTGGGCAGCACCCAAGCCCCAAGCAAGTCCTGGGGTGGCTCCACTGTGTCCACTGGGAAAACAAGTAGAGGACAGACTGCCTGCCTGGCTTTCACATCTGAGGAACAGGGATGCTATTGTCTGAAAGACATGAGGAGCAGCCTCAGGTAGTGATGGGCAGAGGGGGAGGAGAATGAGAGTGATCCCTGGGAATGGAGGTTCTCTTTGTCTTTGAGGGACTCTGTTCCCTCAGGGACATTGAGGAGCACTGAGGGTGCCCCCACAGGGTACTCGTGGCCATCTGTCTCACCCCGGACCTCTCATTGGTGGTCTGTGCAAAGAATCCCCTGCTTGAGGCCTGAAAGTCTGGACAGGTGTCCTCAGGAGAGCTGGTGAGTCCAGGGGCGGCCAAGCCATGGTGTCTGGGAGGAGGGTGGACCTTGATGTCAGATGATCTTGGGTTGAGGTCTTCACTCTGCCATCCTCAGATAAGCTAATCAACCTCCTCAGCCTCTGCCTCCTCGTTCATAAAATAACAGTAATTAGACCTGTCTCGGGGTGAGTGTGAGAGCCATACAGACAGACTTTATCTGAACATGTTCCTGTCAGTGCCTGAGACTTGGGAATTGCTCAGAAGTCACTTCCTCTCTCCCCCCCCCCACTCTTTCCTCCCTCCTTTCCTCTGGATTCTCTGTCCCTCTCCCATCCTTTTCATTCATTTTACCAATATCTAGAAGTTGATGCTCTTAATGTCTTTTGTTTGCACTTTCAGAGCAGTTCATCCTGTATTTTGCAGGGCTGTATTTTGGTGACAATGTTTTGATGGCAGAAAGCTTTAACACACACATCTCTCCCCTGTGTATTTATCTACATATCTGTATCCTTGACCTTTCAGGGTCTTGGCTCAGTTTTGTGGAAGGCATCACTCCTAGTGCCAAGGTACAAAAAGCACACGTCACTATTCCCTCTCATTTTCAATGTCTGTGAAATTTGTAATAAAATGTTCAGGCGGGGTGGGGGAGATATTTCAATATCAGTTTATTTTTTACTACTCTGGGGGAAATAAAATTTTTGAATTGGGTGCCCTTGAATGACCCTCGAGGTCTTTGCCTATCCCCTGGATAGGGGATGGTAGATTTAGCTGGAGATGAAGCGGGGCTGATGCTTCTGCCCACCTGCTGGGAACTATTGCTAATAACTGTGGGCAAACTACTTTTCTTCTTCAAACCTGTATTTTCATGGTCTATAAAACAACCTCAGGGAATAAGATGTATGTGGAGGGACACAGTACCTGGCAAGACAAACAGCAGGTGATGATGCTAAGGCCAATAATTATTTCTGTTAATACTGGGGCTCAAATTTAAGCCAGTTTGGGTTCTAGATGTGTAGGAGATTCAGGTATAAGGCGGGAGTGTCCCTGACATCTGAATGCTTGTGGCCCAGTAGCAGTAAAATAAGTGCCCCGTCCGCCTTCACCCAAGACAAGAATGGGGTAAATACTAAAGGTGGATGACAGCGTGCTGAGGATTTGCAGAGGTAGGAGCATTGGTGATGGAAAGAGCCCCCATTGCGGAGCCCCGCCCCCCCCACATCTGGCCCATTGAGTTCACCATCAGCTCTGTAAAAGATCTGTTAATTCTCAACTCTGTTTTATACCCAGTCTAACAGTCTCAGAATTGGGAAGTGACTTCCTCCAGGGTCACACACAGCAAGTGAGAGGCAGCACCCAGTACTAGAACTCAAGTCCATCAAACTCCAAAGCCCATGCCTTTCTCCACACCACACCAGGCTTCCAACCCCTCAGGCCTCCCCTCTGGCTCTCAGGAGCCTGGCCTCCCCTCTCAGGTCCCTTCTGGCTTGTTTGTCACCTGTCCACTTGGTTATTAAATGATTAAAGAGATTTCTACCTAGAGGCAAGGAAAATTCTTTGAAAGAAGGTCCTCTCACCATGGCGACAACCTGCAGAGGCTTCAAGGTAAACCAGAGGGAAGAACTCTGTACAGCCCCTTGTCTGGTCTACTGGCCCTCCTGTTCAACTTTGAGCACGGAGAGGCTCTTAACTCCCAGGAGGTGCTGCCAGTGATTTGGCACATAGCTCAGGAAGGACCTGCTAGAGGAGATGTGAACTCAACATTATTAGAATGTCCCTGGGTAGTTACAGTAGCACTGGGAAGGCTGCTGACCTGGACCAAGTTGCAGGGAGGTGATGGTCCAAGGGTTGTTTTTCCCAGAGGGAGAGAGTCTGGCCATGGCCCTGGTCCAGGGGCATGTGTACACTCTCTGTTGTTGGTGGGATCAGAGTTGGAGGCATCCTGCCCAGAGGCTAAGCTAGAGCTTCTCTAGGACTGGGGTTGGGGTGAACCAGCCAGACAGCCTGTAGTATGGAGGAGATCTAATAGGTGTAGATTTAGGTACTAATGAGTATGCAGAAATTCTCATATTCTTAAACTTTTAATTAAGAAAGGCTGTGTGGTATAGGGGTTAAAATGCGGGAATGGCAGTTACACACCCTGGAATCACTTCATTGCATATTTCCTCACTGCATGATCTTGGGAAATTTCCTTTTTCACTCTGTGCCTCAGTTTTTTCATGTAAAATTGAAAATATTAACTATTGCTTGTGGGTTTTTGATGAGAATTATATTAAGTGATGCGTATAACACACTTTAGCTTAGGGCCTCTCACTTAGTTTATTGTTGCTGCTGCTGTTTTTAGAACCACTACAATTTGACTGGGAGAGATAGGTCTAAGAATTAAGGGAATAAATAATACAGTAACCCAGGATGTGGAATATGCTAAATTTTCAGTACATCATTCAAGCATATTAGAATATGTAAGAATGTGCTTAAATGTAACCTCCATAAAGGTTAAGGATTTGAATTAGTTCACGGTAGTATTCCCAGTGCAAATAAGCTTGCCCAACACATAGAGGTTTCCAAAACATATTTGTTGAATGAATATTTTCAAAACCAAGCTTTTTCCTGCCTTGGGGCCTTTGCACATGCAGTTCCTGCTGCCTGGTATTCGCTTCCTGAAGCTCTTTCTCTCTTCTCATCCTTTAGGGCCCTTTTTCCAAAAGTTATCACCTGACTGCAACTCACCCCTCCCATCATCGTATCCTAAATTACGTCAGTGTCCAGGATGTCTGTCCCAGACTCCTTGTTCATTTCCTGTTAAGAGTCTTCATAATTCACAATTGCACATTTATTTGTGTTTGTTTTTTCACTCTCTGCCTCTCACTGACTATAAACTCCGTAAGATGGGAATCAGTCTTATCCACCGATTCTCACACCCTCCTTGGTGCCTGGTAAGTAGCAAGCCTAAATGTGCCAGAACTGTTCAGAGGAAGAGAACACTGGGCCGAGGCAATTGGGTTAATTTTCTACTCGTGTATGAGATGAACACTGGACTACTCAACTTCTTGTCTCCTTCTCCGATGGCAGAGTCAGATGAAGTAATTCTGTTGAAGTTTGTGCATATGTTCACTCATTTACTCTCCAGGCCTCGACTGGGCCCTTGCTTGTCCATTGAAGGGTGGGCTCTCCCCTCTGTGTTCCAGGCCACAGCTAGGGTGGGCCTTCACAGTCAGGGAGAGTGTTGTTATCTCTGGTGCTCCTACCTGGCTGGAGTTCAGTTTGTGATGGAGGAGGGACCAAGCACAGGAAGGCACCCATAAGGTGGAATGCACAAGGGGAGAAGGGGCTGGGGAGAGAGCTGGATAAACTTAGGTTGCCTGTCTGTCTTCAGTGTCCCATTCAGCCACGGGATTCTGCAGAGGAGGGGTTTAACCACTGTTTCAGGACACGGGTCAGGCCAGGTTCCTGCAAGTGTCCGTCTCCATTGCCTGTCTTGCTGATGCTAGCCACTCTGGGTCCTCAGGTGCCTGGATGCATTGCTGACCTGCCTTCCATTCACACTGCTGCTTCTCCCTCCTGGCGTCACCCCCAGGCGGCCTCCAAAGCCTTCTGGTTTGCATTATGTCTTTCAGGACAGCAAATCATTAACATCACACTTCTGTCCCCTCCTGGGTTCCATGGTCAGCAGGTCAGGGTTCTTCCAAAGAAAGCTGGCTAATTATATCCCTTGTCAGAACAAAACCCTGCAAGGGGAGCCACTCGGTGGCCTATAAATGCAGCCAGAATGGGAGCAGCACTGTTGCCATTAAGGCTTTGTCTCCTCCCAGCTCCGGCTCCCCTGATCCTGGTGGAACCAGCAGCAGCCTTCACTTGCTAACTCACCCCTGCGTGTGTTGGGCTGTGGGATGAGCTGGATCCGCAGGTCTCCCTGCCAGTGGAGGCATAGGAAGCAGCAGAAAAAAGGGAGCCGGCAGGGAGGCTGGAGGCTGGCTAGAGAGCCGGCTGCGGGGGTTGGAGGCCTGCGCCAAGTGCCAGAGCGAAGCCGGTGGCTGAACTCCTGTCACATCTCCCTCTGCTCTGCCACCCCCCTTCCCCAGGCTTCTCCTCCTTTTTTCCCCCGGTCCTTTTTACTTTCTTCCTCTCTCTTCTAAGAGATTTCTTTATATTCTTTACTTTCCTTGGACCAAAGGGCTTTCTAACAAGATAATCGGCATACAGAAGTCCAGACTCTTAAAGTAGTTTTATTTATTTATTTTTTACAGTACTGGGGGTTGAACCCAGGGCCTTTCACATGCAGGGTGAGTGCTCTACCTCTGAGCTACATTCTCAGCTCTAAAAATCTGAACTTTTCTAAAGTAATGACCTCATATTTATTCTCTGCCCAAGTCCAGGGTATCAGACCTTTTGGGTGTGGAGCGAGGGCCACCCTGGCCCGGGACTTGGAGGAGGACTAATGCAGGAAGTCTCTGTTCACAGACTGATGCTGAAAAACACTCACAGGTGGAGAGGAATTCCCTGTGGTCTGGTGATGACATCAAGAAATCAGACGGAGGGTCAGACAGCGGCATAAAGATGGAGCCCGGTTCCAAGTGGAGGCGGAATCCTTCTGATGTGTCGGATGAGTCTGACAAAAGTACGTCGGGCAAGAGGAACCCCGTCATCTCCCAGACAGGCTCATGGCGGCGAGGCATGACAGCTCAAGTGGGCATCACCGTGCCAAGGACCAAGCCGTCGGCCCCTGCGGGTGCGCTGAAGACCCCGGGAACTGGTGAGTAAGAGGCCAGCACCTTCCTGGGTCTGCAGCTGCCAGTTTAAAACCCAAAACCGTCGTAACTCTAGTGAGGACTTATTATAAATTCCTTCGTTGGGTTTAACCACCCCCTCTCAGAAAGGCTCACATCCTGCCCTTTTACTAAGGGGAGCTGGGTAAGCAGCTGAGCCCTGAAAGCAGCTCAACTGCGGGGGGTGGGGGGGGTTGGTTGGTTTAACCGTACACCAAATTGGTTTAACTAGATACCAGGCAACCTCGGCGCACCTGGTTCAGGCTGTTCAACTGCATATCGGTATGCTGAGTGTCACCCGTGAGTTAGGAAATAGGTGACAAACGAGGGTATGAGTCCACCTGGAAGTGTTAGGCACAGCCTTGTAACGGACAGAGGGTGAAAGGTCAGAAAAAAGGCTCCTGGGCAAAACAGTGATTGCGATCTAGTAATTTTATTTAGTTTTATTTTTCCATGTTTTTTATGGATGCATTATCATTGTTCATAATGTCCTGGGTAAATTTAGACTGCTTCGCAAATAAGTAAAATCCTCAGCACTTCCTAAAAGGCTCCCTGACAGTAATACACTAGATGATCTTCATGGAAAACTCTCTCCCTTAGCCTCAGGGTACTGCTTCCCTGAGGGGAAAGTGAGCCCCTTCTTCAGAGTAAGGGAAGCTGGAAGTCGGACTCCTGGTTTGCAGGCTAACCTTGCTGATTTCTCTCTCAGGCAAAACAGACGATGCCAAGGTGTCTGAGAAGGGGAGGCTTTCACCCAAAGCCTCCCAGGTGAAGCGCTCCCCATCTGACGCAGGCCGCAGCAGTGGTGACGAATCCAAAAAGCCCCTCCCCAGCAGCTCCAGGACGCCTACGGCCAACACCAATAGCTTTGGGTTCAAGAAGCAGAGTGGCTCTGCTGCTGGGCTCACCATGATCACAGCCAGCGGGGCCACAGTCACCAGCAGGTCAGCCACACTAGGCAAAATCCCAAAGTCATCTGCGCTTGTCGGTCGGTCAACTGGACGGAAGACGAGCATGGATGGGGCTCAGAATCAGGACGATGGGTATCTGTCTCTCAGCTCCCGGACAAACTTGCAATACCGGAGTTTGCCGAGGCCCAGTAAGTCCAACAGCCGGAATGGGGCTGGGAACAGGTCTAGTACCAGCAGCATAGATTCCAACATGAGCAGCAAGTCCGCAGGCCTGCCGGTGCCGAAGCTCAGGGAGCCTTCCAAAACGGCCCTGGGCAGCTCGCTGCCAGGTCTGGTCAACCAGACAGATAAGGAGAAAGGCATCTCCTCGGACAATGAGAGCGTGGCTTCCTGTAACTCGGTGAAAGTGAACCCGGTTGCCCAACCTGTGCCCAGCTCGGCTCAGGCCACTCTCCAGCCCGGGACTAAGTACCCAGATGTGGCCTCCCCAACTCTCCGCAGGTAAGTGAGAAAATAAATGGTACCAAGCAGAGCTGCAGTAGGTGAAAGGGCATCCTAGGTTAAGAAGTTCTTGTTTCTTCTTGCCGGGCATGGTGGTGGTGCATGCCTATAATTCCAGCAACTCAGGAGGCCCAGGCAAGAGGATTGCAAGTTGGAGGTCAGCCTTAGCAACTTACTAAGACCCTGTCTCAAATTAAAAAAAATAAAAAGGGCTGGGATGTGTCTCAGTGGTTAAGCAACCCTAGGTTCAATCCCTAGTACAAAAAATAAAAATCCTGTTTCTCAGTTAAAGTAACCTCTATTTTTCTTCTACTTCAGTCCTTTTAGATAAAGTTGTTCAGGCAGTTTCTGCCTGCAATTTTGTAGTCCAAGGGTTATTTTTCCCTGTTGGGATGGAAAAAGGCAAACCTCTGAAATCATCATTCTAGGTTCAAATCATGAGACCATCTTAATTAACCACTGTGTAACCTTTCTTAACAACTCTGCCTCAGCTTCCTTATCTGTAAAATGGGGATGATGATTCTTCTCCTGAGGTTTTTGTAAAGTTAATCTTTGCAGCCAGATCTGGCCATCGTAAACTCAACACTCAGTAAAAGTTGATTACCATCCGAGATGAGGTCTTGATACACTCTTAGAACAGGGTCAGTAGCCCAAGGAAAGCAAGTGATTTTTTTTTTTTTTTCCTGATCTTGGTAACTCTGTGACTGAGCTTCCTCATTGTGAGAAACATTGATCTTAGCTGGATCTTTTCTGTACATCCCAGTGTTCTTTTTAATATCACATACATACTTCCAAGTTAGTCTCTGAAATTTTAACTTTCTTTAAAAAAAAAAAAAAAAGAAAGAAAACATCTTAAAGCAGAACAATTTCTGAAAAGGAGAAATTGATTTCCCATTACCTTAAAAAGGCATCATTTTTCCACATTTCCACACTCAGTGCAATTTCTTAATGTAGAAACAGTATTCACTGTTTTTTAATCGTTTCTTTGACATTTTGCCTGCTTATATTATCTCGTTGCCCATTGGACCATCCTTACATCGAAGCTGAGCATAGTTTAGAGCTCATTCCACCTCCCCGGGAGATTTCTTGTCATAAGAAAGAATGAGTCCCAAGGACGGAAAATGAAGCAGTGAAAAATGAAAAACTAAAGGCACGTACATACTTGGGGGTGAGCGGGAATGTTGAAAAGACTTCAGAAGCAGCATTCCACTTGAAAGGTATAATGAAACTGTTCACTGTCCTTTGTCTAGACTTGATTATTAGAATTTCAGTAATGATTTTTTTTTTTTTTTTGAGGGGGAACGTCCTGTTGGCCTGCTCTTTGTTGTTTTAACAGTTTGCCTTGTAAATGAAAAATTTCTCTGCTTCTTGCCTCAAGTATCACATGTAATATCTGCTCTTTGGTATTACAGATTCCCTTTAGTAACTACAAAGGCATTTCACTAGACCCTGAGGCTGGTGTGACCCAATACGTGAGAATGCATGCAGCTCCTTAGGTCTGCACTGAGCCCCAAAGTGAATCTCACTTTCCCTAAGTTGTTCTTGATTCTCTTGCTGTGCATTAATATGGAGAGTGAAGGGAGGTAGCTAAGTCTTGAGATGATTCGAAGGACTCACAGACAAAGACTGGACTTGTCTTTGGGACAAGTCTTTGGGATGGGGAACAGTTGCATAAAAGACAGGAAAAGAAGGATCAGATTTTGGTTTTCTAACAGTTACAGAAGAGCTTGGCAATGGAGCAAGTTACCCGTTAGTACTAAGGTCCCCGTAACTGGAAGTATGTAAACATTCTAAAGCCAAGATTCTACAATACTGTATTTCATTATCTGGTTTTCACCAGGGGGAAAGCATTTCTCTTCTGTCACCAGATTCTGTGGTGAGGATTGGTTGAGGATATTGGTTCTATGTCTGCTTATCTTTATAATGAGTAAAATTTGCAGGATTGGAGATGACATAGATCACCACTTTGAGTAGCTGGGTGAAACACAGTCTGCCTAATAGTTTCATCACTTTTACTCTGGGTGGAATAAAGCCCTTGCATTACTTGAATGTGACTTTAAGACATCTCCTCGGTTGGCAGAGAGCTCTGTGCTGATGGAAGAAGGAGGCCTGTATGCCATTTCCTGTGCTGCATTGTTGACCAGGGAGATGACATGAAGTGGCACTTCTGTGTGTCTGTTCCAGAGGCATGATTTGTACCCAGCATGTCTGGCCTAATGTCTTGTGAACCCAGCAAGTTTTCTGTGTATGTCTCCTACCCTAAAATATACATCTTTTGGGCATTCCTTTGAGGATTAATCTGTGAAGATACTTTTCCCAGGCCCCATCCAGATCTAGACTTATGTTCTTGATTCCTTGCATTGTGCTTAGCGACTGGGATTGAGCTGTCTGCTTTGTGTCCTGGATAGGAAAATGACTTAGATAGCTCTTCCCTCTTAGATGTTTCCTGGTCCAGGACAGTTTTCTAGTTAGTCTATAGAAAGAAAGGGAGGTGCCACCTTGGACCAGTGTGACTAGCCCAGTAGAAGGACGAGCCTTCCTCACCACCCATTGGTTCAGAGAGGACCAGGATCTCAGCTGCATCCTAGAACTTGCAGTTGGCACTTGTGATAGAGGTGTCATATCCAGGCCTTTGGCCAACTTTTTTCCAATTCAGTAGGACAGATGGTGTCTCCCTCTCCAGGGAGTCTTGCTGCCCGCTATGCCCTACTCTCCTCTTAACAACTCAGCGCCCCTTGGCCTGGGTGTTCATCCCACACAACCCTTTGTCTCTTCACAGACTCTTTGGTGGGAAGCCTACCAAGCAAGTGCCCATCGCCACAGCTGAAAACATGAAAAATTCGGTGGTCATCTCCAATCCTCATGCCACCATGAGCCAGCAAGGTAACTTAGACTCCCCGTCAGGCAGCGGCATCCTGAGCAGTGGTGGCAGCAGCCCTCTCTACAGTAAGAACCTGGACCTCACCCAGTCTCCTCTAGCCTCCAGCCCCAGCTCTGCCCACTCGGGCCCTTCCAACAGCCTGACCTGGGGCACCACTGCCAGCAGCTCCTCAGCAGTTAGCAAGGATGGCCTGGGCTTCCAGTCTGTGAGCAGCCTCCACACCAGCTGCGAGTCCATTGACATCTCCCTCGGCAGTGGAGGGGGACTGAGCCACAATTCCTCCACTGGCCTGATCGCCTCCTCTAAGGATGACTCTCTGACGCCCTTTGTCCGAACCAACAGTGTGAAGACCACACTGTCGGAAAGGTTGGTGCTGTGCCCCTGGCTGTCCCTCTCTCTCTCTCTTTCTCAGGAAGAAGCTGTTTCCAGAGCACAGAGATTAGGTTAGGAACCCCAAATGTTAATTCACCTTTGCCTGCGAGATTTCGTTCTTTCCAGTTACTGCTCTTTCACAGGGAGGCCAATTTGGGATGGAATTTAGCTTGACTATGCTTTCTGTTACCTCTTTGTCCTGCGGTTATCCTTGGTTATCCTAGAGCTGCTGGATGTCTCTTGGGTGCAGATCTATGCTACCATTTGAAATGGCATTCAGCCTTTGAAATCCTCCCATTTTACTCTGTTCATTCGTCAGCGCCTTCTTTCCCCTCCCACTTGTAATTGTGCAAAGGGGGCGGCTGTTCCAGTGCAGCCATGAGACGTGTGGTGGCTGGATGTTCACTGGGCCGCTGGGTAGATTTAGTGTCATAGCAAACACCCTTCCACCGAATTGCCACTGGCCACAGTGATAGGAAATCAAGAAACTGAAGGTGTCCTCAGAGCCCTGGCTTTCACTGCAGTAGTGATGTGTGGCCAGTTTCTGCACTTGGGAAAGAAACCTGGTAAAGAGGTTAGTAAAGAGGAAAGTAAAGAGGAAAATATCACTTGTGTGTAACAACGCTTCTCCTTTTCTTCAGTCTAATGTTCCTTCTCTTGTTTTCTACCTGCCTGGATTTCTAGCCCTCTCTCTTCCCCTGCTGCTAGCCCTAAGTTCTGCAGAAGTACTCTGCCCAGGAAACAGGACAGGTAATGATGTTGTAGGCCGGGGCCCCACACAGGCCTCCTGGCTCCTCTGCCTGTCTGTTGTCAAGCCAGATGTTTTGTGCAAGGCTGTTGGCCTGAGGCTTCTGCTTGTGTTTGTGGTTCTGGTGTATTCTGTGACACCCAGACATGCCAGTGAGTGTCTGTTCTGCTGTCTGAAGCTCAGGGAGGTGGAGTTGGGCTGGCCCTTTCATTCCCAGCATGGGAAGGCCACCTCAAAATCTGCCCCTTGACCTGGAGTGGCACAGGCTCTCCCTTGCATCTCCCGTGGTCTCCTGTGGTCTCCTGTAGCATGTTCCCTGCTCCCCAGATTCCTGCCATTGCCTCCCCACCCCAGCCCAGAAATGGTGTACCACCCACTGTGCAGCTTGGCCCTCTGCTCTTGTCAGCCCCTCCCCATGCAGCTGGCTCTTCTCCCTTTCAAAGTCCTTCCCTGCAGTTTGGCTCCTCCTGTCGTGCAGACTGTTGTGTTCAGTGTGCCCCTTTCCTGAAATGACAATGAGAAGAATATGCAGATTGTAGAAGCTTGTGTTCACCCCCAGCTGTGGGTGGGCCTCAGGGATGGAAATTGACCTTAAACTTGTGGAGGAGCAATGGCTTCGCCAAACATAACAAGTAAATGTTGTTTCATGCTAAGGGAAAAAAAAATTAATGGAAACCCTCTTCACCCCATCAACAGCAAAAACTTTGTTTTTGTCAGACTCACAAAACAAGCTTTTAAACCCTGTTCTTTGGAAATCCAAATGCCTTGACTCTGTCAGCCAGCAAGTTGGAACTTGCCCGACTCCAGCCCAGGGCTCAGCTCCCTGCTACGCCTTTGCTAGGTTAGAAAGAGGGAGAAATGGAGAGGGACCTGGAATTCACTTTGTTACAGATGAATTTCAAATATGCAGACTGCTGGCCCCTTGAACCCCTTCAACAAGTCCATTCTCCCTCTTGAAGCCATTGCCAGTGGCATTTAGGAGGCGGGCCAGAGCTAAGGGTGCAGGGAAGCTGGTATTTCTCTCTCCAAGGAACCAAGGTGGTAGTAGTGCAGAGATGGGCAGCAAGGGCTGTGCTTCAAGTTGGGGCAGCCCCTGAGTTTGGCTTTGAACCTGTGGAAAAGGAGAAACGATTGGGGTTGAGCGACTCAGGCCACCTGGTGACTTGGGGTAAAGTATGTACTGTGTCAGCTCAGGCCCAGGACAGGGCTCCTTTTGCTTTCCCGGGTGGGGATGTGTTGCATGCAGAGCTGGGTAAGAGGGCTCTCCCTGGTGATGGGAGTCTTCCTCAGGGCTCTTTGGCCTCTTCCCCAGCCTTCTCCCCTTCGCATTCCCTGCTCCCTGTGCTTCTCTGAAGTTCTTCTTTTTGTTTTAACTTTCCTACAGTGACCCGCACCTTGATAGGAACACTTTGCCTAAGAAAGGACTCAGGTATCTGTCTCCTTGCACCCATGCCATCTGTTGTGGCCTTGGAGCTTGCTGTGTGGCTCTCTCATGGCTGGTGGGGGTTTGTACTGGGCCGGGGATCTCGCTTTGGCCACTGCAGCAGGACCTTTTGGATGACCGCTCCCGTGGATCCCACTAGTTCTCATCTCTCCATCTGTGGCTTATTTGCTTGAGCAGGGGCTTGTGCTTCTTCAGGCTTAATGTGATACAACCATCTCATGACAGATGTCCCTGGGCAAGCCCAGAGAGCAGCCACTGCTACTGCTGGGCCCCAGTGGGATTCATTCCTGAGCACTTCTCCTCAACCATTCTGTCCACATGGCTGTCTATTCTAGCAGAAAGAGCATGACTTATAGCGTGCTGATTTGTTAGATAGCTCCAGAGCCAAGGAGAAGAGGGATATTTCACTCCCGATTTAAAAACATTTAACTTTTTGGATTGAAAAAAAAAAAAATACTGCTAAAGACAGATACCTTGCTCTTATGTAGATGTTCTAATTGATAACCAGTTGGCTTTCAACACCCCCACCAAGATGTGGTGTGCATGTATGACAATAGAGACTACCAGGAAGGAATATCCTTCCATGTATAGTAAGTCATGGCTTTATTCATTTGGGGGGCTCATTCTGGTAAAACAGGATGCTATAAGTCACCGCTGCTCATACCATCCACCTCACTGTGCCAACCCTAGGAACTCCAGTTTGCTCCTGCCTCCCCTATGGTCTGACTGTCATCTCTCCTGCTTCCTAAACACCTCATTCTTCATAGCATCGGCTTCACCCTGAGCTAAGCATTAAGTGCTTTTGCCTAAAATGGAATTTGGAATGTGATGTTTCATTGCCGTCATGTATGTCTAGTTGATTAACCTGCAGCTCTTAAGACTGAGCACATTTTGAACAGTAACGCGAGGTAGGTATCAATGCTTCCTTTCAATAGGAGCCCTGAGTAAAGTCAATTCTAAGGAGAGTGTTAACATCTCCCGACAGCCTGGGAGAGGGCATTCAGCTCTGTTGCCTTCAAGTCAGCATGGCCTTTGGTACTTGAGAGTTCATGTGGTGACTGTGAGCACAGCTTGTCAGCGACCGTGCTCGATGCTTTAAGCAGCGGCCTCTCCTTATACCAATTTGACATCGATGCCCCTCTTTGACCCAAAGGAACCTAGGTTCTAAACATTAATGTTTTGAAATGGTGTATTTCTGTAGCATATCTGCCCTATCAAAATTATGTCACTGTGGCTTTTAAAAATTGGTATTTGGAAAAATTCACAATAGGGATCTGTGACAATCTATTTACAAGCAACTAGTGTGCTTTAGAAAGTTGGAAGTCCATTGACCATAGGAAAACCCCTCAGGAGGAAGCATTTCTGTGTTTCCTTTCACTCTGGCTCTCCCTGTCAAGTTCACTCCCTCAACACACACTGGTTGCACCCTTTTTTAAGCCAAATGAATCTCTGTCGTTACCTAATCAGCAGTCATTCCATAGTACATAAGTGCAAAAGTCCTGGGTGCTTTAGGAATTCTAGATGTTGTCAGCGGGTACAAAGAAAAGAGCATGGATTTTGGAGTCAGAAAACATGGATTAAAATCTCAGCTCTGTGACACAGGACAGGGAGCTCACCTTCTCAGAACATAAGATGAGAATAATCAATCTTAGGCTTTAGAGAGATAATGCCCATACAGGCATCTGGCACAATGAGATGTTCAAGGTCATTACCAAGTACATTCCAGAGCACAACAGAAGGTGGGCCACATGACTTCTGAAGACCCTCTCATGCTAATCACAGTAACTTGGGGTTCCTTCTGTGAAGGCTCGAATGTGCTAGATTGCAGCGACTGCTATGAGCATCAGTGTCTTCAACCCTCCCTTCACACCTCAGCTTTCTAACGTGCTGTGATTCATGGCTATTTAATTGTGCTGTAGAATGCAGATGCCAGGAGTCACCTAACTGAAACTTCTTCGAAGCTCTAACAGCAGATCCTTCTGTTGCCTCTGTACTGTCAAGGTTGGGGTTTTGACATGACACTGTCGTGAATCAACATGTTATAGTTACGCCCAGTGACGGCTCTTTTGAGCATTTACCAGACTTCTTCCCTTTAGGTATTCCCTCCAAATTGAAAGAATTATAATTTTCTCCAAATGCAGCCAAGTAGCATAAAAGGTTTTAAGAAACTTCAGAAGTTTCAGGGTGTGTAGGGATATGTTTTTTTTTTTTAACCAGCTTTGGATATATATTTTCTTTTTATATATTGTCATCAGCTCCACAGAGATCATTTTCATAAGTGTTGTTCATAGTTCATTCCAGCCTGGTTTCTGTCTGCCCAGGTATACTCCCACCTCCCAGCTTCGCACACAAGAAGATGCAAAAGAATGGTTAAGGTCCCACTCTGCTGGAGGCCTGCAGGACACCGCCGCCAATTCCCCTTTTTCCTCTGGCTCCAGTGTGACTTCTCCCTCTGGAACGAGATTCAACTTTTCCCAGCTTGGTGAGTAGCTACTTGTCATGAGCCATAGACTGTATTATCCATAGAGAGGAGGTTGTCTTAGGATTTGGAATACACAGGTAGTCACATCCCTCTCATTGTCTGATCAGCCTTCAGCGATGTAGTTTGATTATAGGAGATAATAAAAGAAATAAAGAGACTAGCAAAGTTTGGGGTATGCTAGCCAATCATTCTCTTCCTGTAGTTGGTTTAGGGAAGGCAAACAGACCAGCCCATTCTTCAAGAGAATGCATTCCGTTTCTTAGACCTTTAAAGAGGGTTTTACAGCATATCTCATGCTTGATCATTCTTGCCCCCTTATTAAGCTGGAAATAAAATTGAAGTTTTGATTGAACAAGTATTCTTGGAAATGCTTGCTGCTGACATATGCTTTGACTGGCACAATGGGAAAGGAGAAGAATTTGTAACACAGTCCCTGTTGACATGTCAGTGGATTCTTTTCTACAGAGAAAAACACACCCACGCAGACCTATAAAACAGAATAAAAGAGAACAATCCAAAGCTTTATAGAAAACCGTGTAATAACAGAATAGAATCATATAGTGAATATTATATACAGTTAGGAAAAGATCGGTGCCAGTGGGCATTCAATAATAATCCCGAAGGTTTTGGGGAAGCAGTGGGATGGGAGCTGAGCTGTGGAGGATGGATAGAGGGGGAAAATATGTTCCAGTCTCCTCTCAGTATTCAGAGAGGAAGCCTTTTCTGAATATTGTAAATTCAGAGTCTGTAAGGATAGGTGTGGCTTGTGATCAAGTGAGGTTTAACTCAGTTTTGATGAACTAAATAGGTACCTCTGAAAATACTGTGTAATACTAATACTGACATGGATAGAATTTTAGTCAGAAAGCTAGTTTTAGCTAAGTAAATGTGCCCCCTCGTGTTGAAGCTCTTTGTACATCATTATTAAATGCTCCTTTTCCGAGGCAGTGAGACCTGTGTTCATATTGTTCTTTCTCAGCCATAACTCTTTGCAGCAAGAGATTCTTGTCATGCACAAATGCTTCCCATCTGATCAAAAGCCTGGTTGGACTATTTTGGGCTTTTGGCTTTAGAGAGAATTGTTCCAGATGAGCCCGGGGAGTAATTAGCTCATGCCTGGAAGGTGACACTGGCTTGTCTGAACGTGCCAAGTTGGAATGCCAAGGCCCAGAGCCTTGCTTTGGAACTGACCCGCCTTCCCTCCCATATTTTTAGCTCTAAGTGTGTAGCTCCTAGGCTGATTTGACTACCTTTTAGAAAATAAGACAAGGGAGAGAAGTTGGCAGGAGCGTGTATGGCTGATGATAAGGAGTCTCCTCTCTGTCCCCATCTGGGATTTGAACAGAGACATGAATTTGCAACATTTGATTCTGTTCCTTTCATCCCAGCGAGCCCCACCACTGTCACCCAGATGAGCTTGTCCAACCCGACCATGCTGAGGACCCACAGCCTGTCCAACGCCGATGGGCAGTATGATCCGTACACTGATAGCCGCTTCCGGAATAGCTCCATGTCCTTGGATGAGAAGAGCAGAACCATGAGCCGTTCGGGTTCCTTCCGGGATGGGTTTGAGGAAGGTAAGGAAAGGGATTTGCCATCTCCTAGGTTACTCAGCACTCGGGTGAGCGTCCTCTATGCTGGGTTTACTCTGTTGGCCTGATCCCCCACTTGTGAGTTCCTCTAACTCTCCCTCCTCCTCTGGGGAGGGGAATTCTGAATAGTAAGACCTGACTTTTAATTGGCCTTTTAGGACTTTAGGGAAGAGGCTGCTGAAAACACTCTGGTGGCCCTCAGCGCTGACTGAGTTCTGCTCTAGGCCTCTCTGTCCTGGACTAGGGCCACAGCTTCTTGGCAGGCACCTCCATCCTGAGACCCAGCCACTGGCTCGCCTTCCTGGCAGAGTCACGGGAGAGTTTGTTCCCTGTGTTGACGGACCCATATAGCTCTAGGAGCTGGGCACCATGCCTCTCTGCTTTGCTCCAGAATTTTCTGTCTCTAGTGCTACTTTTTTTCTTTTTAATTTATTACATTCATTTTTACCCTTTTCCTTCTTTGGTTGCCAACTGTGCTTCTTTTGGGTTGAGTTTTTATGTTTTGTTCATTTTAATCAGAATTGTAGAAGAAAAGTTCTGTGGACAACTTCGTCAGCCTCCTCACAAGTCACCCTACTCCTCTTTCTCTTTGCTCCATCACCCAAGGTCTGAGTTAGGGGACGAATGGTCAAAATCCTTTCGAGGGACATCACCCCACGCCCAAAGACTGGGCGCATAGAACAGTGAAGGCAGGCCCCAGTGACCAGTGAATAAGAATATGGAGTCAGACCAGCAGAGTTTAAATTCCAGATCCTCAATTCCTTAGGTATACGATCCTGGGCAAGTTGCTTCTCCTATTTTCTCACTGATAAATTGGGAGTGATAACAGTATTCAGCTCATGCAAGCCTAAGAATTAGATGAGATAATACATATAAATGTTAATGCAATAACATGATTACATGTCACAGCCTCTAGACAGACATTCAGCGCTGGTTTCCTGGCAGCTTGATGTCTCCAGCCAGGGCTAGAGACTGGGGCAAGCCGAGTCAGCTGAGGGCTATACCTCTGTTTGTGCTATTTTTTGCCAGTGACAAAAAAAAGATAGGGGGCAAGTCATAGGTGCCTCCTTCTGCTCCCAGTCCCTGTGAGTGGAGCTATATGTCTCGCATCTGACCAATAGGAAAGAACAAATTTGTAGTTATTTAGGAAATCCCAAATCAAAGGGAAAGAAGCATAAAGGCATCTGCTTTCTCCTAATGTTCTTTTAAACAAAAGTTTTAAAGAATTTAGTTACGGAACAGTTGCTCCCTGGTTAATCTTGGCGACTTAATACTGTCCCGGTGATTTATGTATCATTTGCATCCATGACATCCAGCGTGCAGACTTGACTCTGTAAATCCATATATGGGAACTGCAGGAACAGAGGACTAAGGAGGGGAGGAGCCTGGGTTACTGAGGGTTTTTTCCTTGATTTAAGAACTAAAAATGAATATTCTAACTGCTCAGAGCAGTCTAGTGGGGAGACATTGACCCCCAAGGTGAAGGAAGATGCAGTCTGTCTTGAGCTTTTCCTGGTTCCCTACTAGCCAAGCATGGCCACCAAGCATTTTCCAACCTCCCTGATGATAACTCTCATATGATGAGTTGATCCTGCATTGCGTCCATCTTCTCTACCCTGTGTACACCTGAGTGAACCACATTCAGTACTGAAACTTGTCCAAACAAGCACAGTTAGCCTCAGAAAGTTCTGGGACCATTCCAGTATCATCATCAGATAGCTTTTATTTTTTTCATCTGGAACCAACCTGACAGGCAGCCCAACTGTGCAGTATCTGGGATGTCAAAATGACAGTGATAAAAGAGCTTACCCACAAGCAGAATCTAGATATTCATAAACATGATGATTTATAGTGACAAGGAATTGAAGCACAGGGGTAAAAAAAAAAAATCAAACTTTGGAGGAAAAGGTAGGGACTGCTGTCAATGTGCTTGGGAACATGGAATGTTTTCATCCTTGGGGAAGTCTACTATCAGTGATATTGTTTCTCCTGAGACTGTTAACATTACAAAACAAAATAGAACTTGTGTTAACCAGGTCTTTTTAATTCCTCTGGATGCAAACTATTTTTTTCATATTTCACATTTGGACCAAATAGAACCTCTTTATAATATGGCCTTGTGTATTCTATGCCATAAAGCAGAATAGAAACTTAGAATTAGTGCAAGTTGTTTGTGTGTGGTGGTTGTACGTTTGAATCAGTACTTAACCAGTTTAGAGGTAAGTGGGAATCCTAGGTCTGTAGGGTAGTTGCAGGAATGGCCCAGATGCAAGACCCTTCGAAATTATTTCAGATAAATTAATTTTTATCAGAAAACACTGCAATCTCCCAGCAGCTCAGGAGGCTGAGGCAGGAGGATCAGAGTTCGAAGCCAGCTTCAGCAATAGTGGGGCACTAAGCAACTCAGTGAGATCCTGTCTCTAAATAAATTTTTTTAATAGGGCAGGGGATGTGGCTCAGTGGTTGAGTGCCCTCAAATTCAATCCCTGGTACTCCCCAAAAAGAAAACACTGCAATCTTAAAATCAATTTTAGTAGCATATACTTCGAGGAATGCTGGGTGCATTTTTAAGATGGTTGTCTTTGCACAAAAACAAACAAACAAACAAACAAACATGATTTTATCAGTCATGACTAAGAACGGCTGTAATCTGAAAGCCAAGAGACCCCCATCCTGTCAGTTCACACAGACTCCCCAGCAGCAGAGCAGCTTAGTAAGGAGGAAGTCTTGTCCTGCATCATGCTCGTGTTCCTAGCCCCTGAGTTAGGGTCATGATTCAGATCCTGTCACCCCCATGGTTTGCACTGTGGCTTCAGGGAAGGGGTTGACTCTCATCAGCCTGTTTCCTGTTTGCTAAAATGTGGAAAATAATTGTACCTGCCTCAGAGGATTGAAGTGAAGATTGGGCAAGATAAATCCTGGAAAGCATTTAACAAATAACTCTGAAAGGGGCTTATCGTAAGTGCTCCATCAATGGTAGCTATTGCTGTAATTGTCATCTTATATCCTTCTCCCCAAGGGCCATTTCTTTCATCCCCATTTTTTTTTAATGACAAAATTGAGACAGATGTGTCATGCAGAATGAGGTCCTAAGCCTCTTGAGTCCCAGCTCTCTTTTTACTCAATCCTTCATTCACATTTGATTTACCTAGCTTTTTTTTTTTTTTCCTCTTTCACCCTTTCTCAGGCAAGGTCTAGTCTTTCATGGGTGTGTTCTCTGCTCTGTCATGCTTCCTCTGCTGGCTCAGAGGCGGGGTACCATTTTTTTCTCTCTCCTTCCATGGTACCCAACTGTGGAATGAGAATTAGAGTGTGATGCCTAGGTTTTCTCCTTGCCTCTGACTGGCTGTGTGCCTTTGGCCACATCACTTGACCACTCTGGGCCTTGATTTACTCATTTTCTAATTAAGGATAGAAACTCCTGCATAGTCTGGGATTATTATCTGCAAATTCTCTGTGATAATAAGGATTATTTTAAACAATAGTATAAATGAGAAAATGCTTTAATAGTAAATGTGTGTGTGTGTGTGTGTGTGTGTGTGTGAGAGAGAGAGAGAGAGAGAGAGAGAGAGAGAGAGAGAGAGAGAGAGAGAGATTCCCAAGTGTGACATTTGACTGCTCTATTAATTGGAGTATGCCCAGTCATTTGATTCTGTCTAGAGGCTCTACATTCTGTGTAGAGGTCTAAAGCTTCTTCATTCACAAACTTCAGTCCTGGATGTTGCTTCCGTATAGATTAAATAAAGGTATTAGGCAATTATTCTAAAATACACTGGAAAACTTTTCAAAAAGAAAAGAGAGAGAGAGAGAGAGAGAGAGAGAGAGAGAGAGAAGAGAAACCAATAGACCTGGTCACCAAGGGCAAAGTAGTCTCCAGATTCAATATCCCGTTCTTGAATTGTCATGTGAGACCTTAAGCAAGTTTTTTTTTTTAACCTCTCTGAGTTTCTGATTCCTCAGTGGCAAAGATAGCCTAGGTTTCCCTGTGGTTCCTTGAAGCTATAAAATTTTGGAGGCACAGAGACTAGGAGCATAATTACATGGCACACTTTAGCTGTTTTAGTTTCAGATATCTGCCTTACAGCCAGGCTCTGGCTTGACTCGGGTCACTTGAAGGAGGAGCAGCTACAGTGGCTCAAGCCAGGCACACTCAGTTTTGGTTGACTCTGGGTCTTTTTTTTTTTAAGACTTTATTTACTTATATGTGGTGCTGAGAATCAAACCCAGTGCCTCACACATGCCAGGCAAGTGCACTACTGCTGAGCCTCAGCCCCAGCCCCTCACAGGGTCTCTTTAGATCAAAGCCTTGCCCTTGCTTTTTACCAAGAGAGAGGAGTTAATTATGGTGAAAAACAAGGGACTGCACCTTAAGCCACCAGTTGCGCTCCTCTGCCTGGGGCCGTAAGCTTGCCCTGAGTTGCTGCCTAAACTTCTTCAGTGAGTTTATGTTATAAGATATAGGGAGAGAAGAGAAAGCACTTCCATTTTCAACAGCGAAAGGCTGTTGTAGCCCTCTGGAGCTGGCCCATGACAGGGCTGTCATGCCAGTGACGGAAGGGTGGCCATGTGTTATGCACATTCCACCTGACCCAACCTCTGATGGAGTCTGGCCCCTTCCTTCTGGGTCCTGCAGTTGAAGTAACTTACCCCTGTGGAACATTAAGCTGCTACTTTGGGGCTTTAGCAGCCTCTGTTAATATGTGGACACGTTAACACTGAAAGCCATTGTTGACCGTTAACACCTTAAACTGAGTTTTATAGGTATGAGTCAGATTTGTCATGGATGGAGGAAAATATCTAGAACTCAGCGCATTGCCAAAGAGGAGGGACAGGAATGGTGGGCGGAGTCAGACTCAGAGGAACAGGTACCTGCTGAGTGAGAAGAGGCCAGGATAGCAAGCGCAGAGCTCTGTGGGTAGAAGATGCAGATGGCAGGCAGGCAACGAAAGGCTTTTTGGAGAGGACATTGTTCGCACACTCCTTATTTGGTTGGGCACTATTTAGGGGCATTCCAACAAAGAGAAATGCACAGGCAGAGAGATTCCAAGGCTGGAAGGTACAAGCAGAGAGATTCCAAGGCATGATTGGGAGAGAAGGGAAGGAGTCATAATATGATAGGAACAAATGAAAGAAGAATGGGAGGTCAGGGAGGGTTTACTGGAAAGACCAGAGATAGGCGTCCAAGTAATAGGCTGTGCTGTTCATTTGGTGGTTCATTGGCAGGTAGCTTCTATTGCTGGGATGAGCTCACATCTTGAGTGGTAGGTGACTGCCATAAGTGCATGGTTAAACTTGCTTCTGAGGGCTGGGGTTGTGGCTCAGCGGTAGAGCACTCACTAGCACGTGCAAGGCCCTGGGTTCGATCCTCAGCACCACATATAAAAATAAATAAATAAATAAAATAAAAGTATTTTAAAAAAAAGTTGCTTCTGAGAATTCTGCTTCAGGCTGCAGGTTATCATGCAGAAAAGAAGTATAGGCATCCCACCTGTGGTCAGAACAGTGGGGCCTAATTCAAAGTTTTCATTCAGAAGTCTGAAAGCAGGAATAGTTCAGTCTTTGAAATAAGTTGTCAAGAAGTTACCAAGAGAATAAGAACCTGGCTTTCTAAAAGGGAAGGCATCCAGAACACCTAGACCTAGAAAAACCAGGTTTTAAAATGAGAATAATAAAATATCTCTACTGGATGGAGAGGTGATAAGGCTATACAAGTAGGATCTAAGTCAGAAAGTATTAGTTGCAAACAGAAAAAAGGATAGTACTTGCTTGTTACTTTGCAGAAACAATAGAAATTCAATGCAGAATCTGTACTTCAGTGAATGTTTTTGAACCACATATTCTGCTACATGGTCATGTAAAATGAATTGACTATGGTCAACAGCCTCTTGGGTTCAAACTAATCTGTTCATTTTTTTGAATATACAGCACAGGATATAAAATATATATATAATCTCGCAGGGTATAAAATACATGTGCAATGCAATCTCAACCCATAAAAGAATGACATTAGAAAAAAAAAAGTAGAATAAAATATGCTAGAACAGTAGCAGATTGCCCCTGAATAGTGGAATCATGAGTTACCACAGGCTACCTCAAGGAATATGCCTCTTTCCTCTCTTTTTTCTGTTTGTGCTGGGGACTGAATGCAGGGCCTCCCACATGCTAGGCAAGCGCTCTACCACTGAGCCCCATTCCCAGCCTCACAAACTATTTCTTATTTCACCCTGACCTGTCACCAACCCAGGCCGAGGTGAGACCATCATGCTGAGCCTGACAGTATCCTCCAATTCTGATTTCCTGCTCCCCACTCCCTTTTCTGGTTCCATAGCAGCCAGCTGTGCAATTCACTTTGTTTTTTCTTTTAATAGTTCACGGATCCTCGCTCTCCTTGGTTTCCAGCACCTCGTCCATTTATTCTACAGTGAGTATAAATCAGTGCCGTTGGCTATGATCATGAGAGCTTGGATTCCTTTATCAAATGTGTCAGGAATAAAATGCAATGAACATTGCTCCTGGAGAGAGCATTTCCATTATAAGGGGATCAAATAATTAGGGAACAAGATTTGAAATTCACAAGTAGCTATTAATTATAATATACTAACCAACAAGTCAGGAACTGGCTGTTTTGTTCATATGGTACTTTTGTCGGAATGTGTGAGAAGCCTTGGCCACCTGCTGGCCGGCATGGAAAAGAAAGGCTTTGAACAGTTCATTAATCCTCTGTCTGCCTCAGTTTCTTTTTCTGTTAAGTAGAAAGAACAGCAGTTTTTACCTTATAGAGTTGTATTGAGGACTAAATGGTTTGAACATTACATTTCACTGCATTAAAAACTCCTGGGAGATGAGGACTTTTTTTATTCCTAGTGCTGAGGACAGTGCCTAGCACCTAGTAGGTTTTCAAAAAGTCAGTTTGAAAGAAAGGAGAAAGTGCATGCATTATGTTAAACGTGGCCGGCACAGCTCAGGACAAACGTTCCTAAAGGCCGACTGTCATCGCTGAGAAGGCTGTTGAACAAAATGCAAATATAACCCAACACATTCGGATTTTCAGTACTACAGGATTTGTTCAGTGGAACTTACTTTTTTATAGCTATATGCTGTTTATCTTAAAAATATTAATTTGGGAATTCCTACAGGAAAAAAAATTGCTTTGTTAATCCTTTAGCCTTTTAATTCCAAGGAAGCACATGCTTTAATCATTCAGGTGTTGAGAATTCTGGGTTTCTGGGCTATATAACAGGATGCACTGCATGCGGCTCTTTGAAAAGAAGTGATCGTGCCAGAATCAAGTGAGAGAGACCAGGATCTCATTGTTTCTTATTAGTGAACACGTTGGTGATTGCTGATACAGTCTTATTTGAAGAACCTAGCAACTTTTGCTTCTGTTCCTACCTACCTCACCCCTCCAGCTCCACAGTTGTATCTCTTTAGTTGATTATTTTGTCTGAAATTTCATCATTGGGTCCTGGCTTTCCTCTTAAAGGTTTTATATATAGTAACCATGGGAGGGGTTAATGAAATCATTATCTACTAAGAAAGCATAGAGACGGTCTTCTAGCTGTTAGCCAGTAGATAAACAAAGTGCTCTCTTCTAGAATAAAATTTTTGGATGTAGATACCAAAAATAGTGCTTTCTAACCTACATTCACTTCAACGGTATTTACTGGCACCATTGATATGCCAGGCACTGGCCCAAGCCCCAAGGATATGGATTAGGAGAGAAAGGAGCCTATTGCCCAAAGTGGAAGCTGGAGGCACCAGAGAGACGTGGGACTCTAGTTTCCTGGGGTTGGTACAGAGCATCCATAGCAGATGTTGTAGTGCCCCATGTTCCCCCAGTGGCAAATCCAGGGACTTCTGTCAATGCAAAGACAAGTAGACCCTTCTCAGAGAAGGAAAAGAGCATGCCTTTTCCACTTGTGAGTGTTCAGATCTCGGAAGCCATCACATGTAATTCCTTGGGGCACCCCATTCATGCGAACTGCCAGAAGCTCTTGCAGTAAAGGCCTAGCTTCTAGTAGCTGCTGTTCTGGGTGTGTTGCATAAAGACAATGTTTTCATAACATTCGAAATTGACCTTTCTGAGTTGCTATGAATTCAACAAATTACCAAAGACCTATAAAAATAATTTTAAATTTCTATTTCTAGTCTATTCTATTTCTATTTCTAGAAACCCAAGGTCTAATCTTAGCTTATTATCCCCTTGACTTTGGACAAATTACCATTATTCAGGATGTTTCAGTTTTGTCTTCAATATCAGAAATCTGAGCAAGGTGATGTGTGAGTCTCCAGAACCTCTGACCTTCACTTAATCAAAATCTCCCATTTACTATTCTTACATGTGCCTGCTCTGAGACTATAGATTGCTTTTGCAGACTTTAAAAAAAATAGACTAACATTAGAATGTTTTCATGCTAGAGCAGTCTGCCAGTTTTAAGAAAAAATTGCAAGTCTGGCTAGACTCTGCCACCACCTAGCAGTGATGTGTGGTCCCCTGTCTATTATTAGCTTCTGAGAGGTGATGAAATGCAGAAACAATGCTCAGCCCCCTTTGTAAATGCTAAGGTGTCATCTTTGGTCTCTTCAGTCGCCACAGACTCAGACCAAGGAATTTGCTTACTAGCTGAGAGTCTTAGGTCTCTAATTAGAGGATAGCAGCTTCTTCCCTTGAAATCTCTATAATTCTTGGATATTCAAAAATGCTCTTCTGTCTGAAATTTGCCTGCAATTTTAATTACAAATGAAAAAAAAAAAAAGGCACCATGATGCTAAATAATAGCCATGGAGAAGTCATGGCCAGCCCTTGGAGTAGAGAGAATCTCAGAGGCCACAGGTGGCAGCAGACTTGCTTTCTTCATCGAGAGGGAAGAGCAGTGAAGTTCCCAGGGGAACTGTGGAACAGATGGAGGCCCGAAGCTCCACACAGGGCTCCCACGTGTAAAGAAGATCAGCAGTAGCTGGTGGCAAGATGCAGAGCACATGACTTTTGTTGGCCCAGCCTTAGCGACAGGTGGGCACAGTGGCAGACAGTGGCCAAGACTGTTACAAACTTGTCAACAGAATAGCTTAAAAGTGGGGCTGGTCCTGTTGGTGTTTCAGCATGCTAACAGGCCCCCAGCAGCCTCCCATATGTTAGATAGCTGTGACATTCTCACTGTTTTCTTCGTTAGATCAGACTTAGAAGTCACAGGACTCAGTTCTGGAACGTTTCCTTGAGAATGTAGCTGTAGTACAAGAGAAGAAGCATGTGCTGGTTATGCCCATAGGCTGACTAGATTGCCTTGGATCACCCCAGCTCTGTCACTCATCAGCTGTGGGCAAATTACTTAATCTCTCTATGCCTCAGTTTTCTCATATGAAAAAAAAAGCAATAGAATTAGTACACACAAAGGGTTATCATAAGGAATCAGTGAATCATGAAAATAAAGTGCTTAGAAGAGTCTGGCACATGGCAAGCATTCAGTCAGTGCTGCTTATTATTATCAGGATATAAGCAGCACAAGGTTAGAGACTTGTCACTTGTTCTTAACTCTATCCTAGGACCTTAAAACATTGCACCAAGTCAGAAATCAATATTTGTTAGATGGTGGTGGGGATATTAATATTTGTTAGATGGATGGATAATGGACAAATGGACAAAGAGAGTTGTGACAATGTTATCTGAGAGGCAAGTCTGAGCATTGAGATGGAAGTACCTTCTTCTGAGTTTCTCAGAGGAGGAGATTGTCACTGTGTGATTTTAGGTAATATACTTAACCTCTCCAAACCTTAGAAACAGCATACAAAAAAACTGCTTTACAGAGTTACTTCAAAGATTAAATAATTTGGCCTCCGATCCTTAAAAGTGAGTTGCTTTAGTTAGTAGCCAGCCTGGAGAAAGGAGATCTTGAGCAGGATCAGGAAAAGGGCACTGGGGGGCCTGGTGTGAAGGAAGATGAGACAGAAAACAGCTGCCCACCTGCTCTCGCTTATGTGTGTGGGTCTACAGGATCTAATGACTCGTTTCCCTTTTGTGCTCTTAACTATCAGAAGTACCCACTAGAGCCAGATATTGATTCCTAAAAATATTTGGGTTATTACTAGTATACTTAGATTAGGGTACTCACTGAGAACCTAAGGACAAGATAATGTTCTCATTGATATTTACTCCTATCCCTGGCTCCCAAGTCACTCCTCCATCCCTGAGTGGTGGGTGGACAGAAGGGCAGGAATACTTCCAGCATTTCCAGGAAATGGGTGGAGGGTTGAGTCCTTCCTTATGAGCCCCTGTGGGAACCAGAGAAGAGACAAAGAAAGGTTCCTCCTGTAGCAGTTTCCTCCAGCTCATGTGGGTTCCCCATGTGGGAAGAGAGAGTCTTATAGTTTCTTTCTGGCCGGTACCTGTGTTACCACTGGCAGCAGGGAAGGCTTTACCAGTAAGAAGTTTCACAGGTTCACCGTTACTCCCAGGAATTCCAGGTAACTGAAGGACTCAAGGTGGCACAGCAGGAAGTGAAGGCCATGGTATCCTCACAAGCTGTGGAGCCAGCAGGCTGGATGAACAGGAGCTTCCCAGCCCTTCACTCTAAGGCCTTTCTGCCCCCTCTGCTCCTACTGTAGCACCCTAGGGAGGCCAAATGAGGGAGAAAATGGGGACAGAATCAACCCCTGCCCCCTAGATGGGCTTGCCAGATAAAATACAGAACATACAATTAAATTTGAAGTTCAGGTCAACAACAAATAAGCTTTTAGTGTAAGTGTATCCCCAATATTGCATGGGATATGTTTAGACTTTGAAAACTGTTTAAATTTAGCATCTTGTGTTTTTACTCCCCAATGCTGGCTCGTGTCCTTCTCATGCATACCTTTTCCCAAGCACCTTCCTTTAGCCCATCTCCATGTGGAGGCTGGGTGGCTCCTCACAATCGGTTGGAATATTATTCTAATTCTTTCTTATTTCTTAAGATGATATTCTGTAGATGGATCAACTTAATTGAACCAGTTTAGCCAGAGAAATATATCAGAAAAGAAAATCAGTCTTCCAGATTTTTCTGAGTATCCAAATTTGCTGCTCCCCCATAGACTGGAATGTACTGTTCTTTGCTTCTCAACTAGTCTAATTTCCTTTGTGATTTATTTACAGCCAGAGGAAAAGTGCCAGTCAGAGGTAAGGAACCATTGCTAGTTGAATCTCCTCTTTCACTATTATCAATTATTTCACCCAGCTCAGCCTAGAAACAGACTCCCCAAAGCAGGTAACTGTGCCTTGTCATCTTTAGATTCGCAAACTGCGGCGGGAACTGGATGCCTCCCAGGAGAAGGTTTCGGCGTTGACCACCCAACTGACAGCCAACGTGAGTGCATCTCAGGGTGGGAGCTGCTGGGTTGGGTGGGATGGGAGGCAGCCATTTCTGCCTTCCAAGCATTGCCTCAAGGCCCCCATCTCTGAATACTTAGAAGTAGCACCGTGTAATAAAGATGGACAACAACTTAACATCATGGATGTGACTGTCAGCTTTCACACAAACTGGCTGTGTGACTTTAGGCAAGTTCTTTACCACCTGAGCCTGACTCTGCTCTTCTGTGCCCTCAGGACACAAAGGCAGCCCTTTCGCTGGCCAGCAAAATGAGATCCTGTAGCTCCTCCGAGCTAATGCGGTTTCTTTCTGAGCTTGTAAAAGCACTTTTCTCAGTAGCCGTCTCCATAGGGTCAAGGTTTTGTTTTCGTTTTTAATTTATAGAAAATACAAATGCTTCCAACTGGAATCATGGGTGGAAATTAAATGCAGAATTGAAAAAAAAATAAAAATTCAGTCATTTAAATTGAGCTTCCCCATTCCTCTGCAGTGCAGAAATACACTTTAGACATCCATGTCCTGACCCCTGGCCTTTGTCCACTGTGGAATCGAGTTGAAGCAACAGGCTTTGGTTTTGACATGTTTTTCAGGGCAAACTAAAGTCCCCCTTACCTATTTGTGCGGTCATGATCAGTGCTTGCAGTAAATTAAGTGCCAGTTTCCTTTCCCTTCTCCTTTCTGAGAATTTCATCCTCAAAGGGGTAGGGGAATGGAAAAGGAAAGAAAAGGATAAAACAATAGAACTTCAGGGCTCCACAATAAACAGCGAAGCTGCTCTATGATTATGACATACATGATTACATGTTCGGGAGACACTGCCAACCAGCATTCACTTCAACAACTGTTTTGTGTGCCAGCTGTGCCCTGGGTGCTGTGAATTCAGCCCCAAAGCAAGCACAGTACTGTCGTCTTAGCATTCAGTCTCTGGTAGAGCAGAGAGACAAAACAAACAACTGGCCCTTGGCATGATAACTATTATGGTAGAAATAAGGGGAGGTGGCTGGGGAATGTATAGGAAGAGCACCACACTCAGTGTTGGTGGGAGTTAGGAGGGAGTCAAAAACGACTTCCCAGAGGAGGTGATATTTGATGGATGTCATGTAGGAGAGGGTTCACAGGGAGGACAGTGTTCTAACTAAAGAGAGTAATCTGTGCAAAGAAAGGGGAAAGTTCGTGATGCATTTTGAGCTGCAAGTAGCTTGGTGTATAATTAGAATCTAGAGCTTAGTGGGGAAGAAGGTGTTAAGAAAGGCAAGGATTGGATGTAAGTGTCTTTGAGCTGTTAGGATGAGATCTTGGGTTCCTCCTGACATTAGGAGAGACCTGTCCGTGGATTGTAAGCAAGCTGTAAAGTGGTGTAGCTGGTGTTTAGGAAGCGTCCTGACTGAGGCAGAGTAGAGGTCACTACCTCGACAAGCCCTACTGTGAACTATGACCCAGTGAGGGTGAAGATCAGAAGGCAGAACCTGAGGTTCTGGAAGGTGCTAAGATGCGTCTGAGACACGTCTTCCTGCCCAGGAGTTCCCAGCCCAGCCGGAGACCACAGGCCAATGTGTTAAAGTCTGTGAGAAAGCACCTGTGTGACCCTGAAACACACTGTAAAAATGGAAAGTGACATCAAAGCTTGTTTCTCTTTGACTGGGACACTGAGTCAACACTTCAAAGTAATCATTTACCTGGAGTTTTTGCCCTGGTGATTCCCAGCTTAGCTTGAATCTACTCAAGGAAACCCTTTCTCTTTAAAGTCTGCACATGAAGTACATAAAACAGGGCCTGACCTTAATTATAAGCTCAATAATTGGTAACTACCTTCATTATTATTCAGTCTCCCAAGTTCTCTTACCTTTCTGGAAATCTTTTTTTTCCCCCCAAAACCCTAACACACTGGGCCACTGTGTGTTCTATAATACTTTATTTTCTTAACCTCTTCTATTATCAGTAACAGTATCAAAAGGACATCACGCATTGATGTGAGAACTGAGTTCTGAGGCCTAGATCATATTCAAAAGGTAGCAGCAGCATCAGCAGCTTGTGGGTAGATTCTTCATCTTGGTAACCAAATGTATGTATCCAAACCCAGAACTTCCCCCTGGGCCCAGTGAGCCAGGGTCTTCTGGGTACAATCTAAACACATGAAAATTGACAGAAGCCCCCTCCCAAGTGATTCTGAGCTACTGTCCTAGTTAAGAATGACAGCTGTCAGTTGCCACTCTTTTTTATGAACCAACAAGTAGCAACCAACTTGCTTGTCCATGAACTTGGGTAAATTCCCCCAGTGACCTTGCATTGCCACAGGGAGCCTTATGTTGAGCCATTTGCATGAGCTCTGCTCTCTGTTCCAGAAGAGTTGGAGTGAGATCCCTTAGATGATTCAAAAGTGTGTTTTGTTCCTCATAAAAGCCATTGAACCAGTATTGTTTTGAAGTAAATATTTGGTCTTACCACACACCACCGGGCAGTGCTAACGTGTTTTATTGTCTGCCATCTTCTGGAAAACCAAGCTGTGTTTGTTTTTCTAGGACAAACTACTCAAAGCCACCTTCTGTGGGTGTTTTTATACCACTGTGTTTGTTTTCCCTGGGAATGTGAGAATGGGGCTGATGAGGAGGCTGCTTGTGTGACTCTGAACCAGGCTCCGCACGGTCTCTGCGGCCTGTATTTTCACAGTTGCCCTCAGGACACAAAGGCAGCCCTTTCGCTGGCCAGCAAAATGAGATCCTGTGGCTCCTCCGAGCTAATGCGGTTTCTCTCTGAGCTTGCAAAAGCGCTTTTCTCAGTAGCCGTCTCCGTGGGGTCAAGGTTTTGTTTTAGTTTTTAATTTAATAGAAAATACAAATACCCACAACTGGAATCATGGGTGGAGATTAAATGCAGAATGGAAAAAAAATAAAAATTCAGTCATTTAAATTGAGCTTCCCCATTCCTCGGCAGTGCAAGGGTACACTTTAGACATCTATGTCCTGACCCCTGGCCTTTGTCCACTGTGGGATCGAGTTGAAGCAACTGGCTTTGGTTTTGACATGTTTTCCAGGGCAAACTAAAGCATGTATATTTATTTTAAAATAAAGAGGCATTTTCTCCATTTTCAACAGAGAGGGAGTGCATTCAGAGAAAAACTATTCCATGTGACCTTTCTGTTACAAGTGGCCCTGCTTCCTGCCAACGCTTGACCTTCGCTTGGCCTTCAACCATCGAGCACCCCTGCTTGATGAAGTCTAGTAAATAGAGTGACTTTCTAGGTCCCTCCTTAGATTGAGATGGCACTAACCCTCCTCAGAGACCACCCTACCCTTAATGCCCACTCATCTCTTTCTTCCTCTAGAATTTTATAACCTGATCAAATCTCACTTCTTCCAAGATTCCTCCATGTATCTTCTGCAGGTCCCTGTTCTGGTCCCTCCTTACTCCTCTGTGTGTCTGCTCCCTAACCTTACACCTGTGTTCAGGTGACACATCTCCTCTCGTAGTTTCTTCTTTCATTTCCTCATTTCCAAACCTCTTTCTTTGCCCACAGTGCTTATTCATCTCTATGTTTTGCAATTCCTCAACAGTTTGTAGACCACTTTCACCTGTCTTATTTCATGTGGTGCTCAAAATAACCCTGGGAAGAAAATAGATGTTATTTATAGATGAGAAAATTGAGGCCATTAGGATTAGATGATTTGCTTAGCATTATGGGTAATCAAAAGGCATGAGAGGGAACACCAAAGACCTCTCGCTCTAAATCCCGTTCCTTCCCCTGGGCCACATGGGCACCTTCACCTGAGTGCTTTTTTTTTCAGTCTTTTATTTGCCCACGCAACACATTTGTCTTGTGGCAGCTTTGTGCCAGCAGGGACGCAGGGAAGAAGAAAACAGACCTGGTGTCACCCCCTATCAAGCATCTGGTCTGACAATCCATCTCTTCTGCTGCCCAAATGCCTCTAACCAGAAGACCACCACTATTTCATTTATACAAATAAAGTTTGGAAGTTGGACAGTCCTGGTGAACTAATGGATTCTTAATTTGATTACTAGAAATTCCTTAACATGACTGAAAATGCATCCACTCTTCATTCTTGGTTTTAATGATGTTAACAGGATCCCCATTCAACCAGCTTTTCAACTACTTACTAATTTGCATCCCAGGCAGGAGGTTTAGTACTGGAAGGCAAAGTCACCTCTTAACCTTGAAGGGGGACTTACAGAGAAGGGGACATGCAGGAAAATGCCATAGTTCTCAACTCCAGGATCCATGGGTCCCCCCTACAGACACACACATTGTTAACATCTCTGAAAATTGGATGCATGTTTTAATTGTAATTGGCTACATTTTTTAAAATGTCCTAGTGATATGTAAAGTCATAGCATATCTGATGTTGTTTTCTAACAGAAGTCTATGAAAGTGCGTGGGAGCCTGTGGGAAAGTCATAACCCCTGGGGGAAACTAGGAGAGGTTTCTCCAGGGAGGTAGCAGATGGGCCTTTCAGTGGCTTTTTATTAACCAGGATTATAACAAGCAAAATATGCCAACCATTTGTTTATTCTACATACATGCTTCCTATGAGTTTGGCACTTGCTGAACAAAATGGAAAGTGATCATCCTATAATACAGAATGAAGTCTTAGAGAATGCAGACACACAGCAGCTGTCACAAGACCCCATGGTTTTTGTTTGATTTTCTTTTTTTCAGTACTGGGGATGGAACGCAGGGCCTTGTGCATGCTAGGCAGGTGCTCTACTACTGAGCTACATCCCCAGACCAAGACCACATGTATTTGAACTACAATTTCACAAAGCTTACGCCAGAAGGCCAGTGGCTTGTGAGAGTAAATATGAGGGAAACTACCTAGTCTGAAGTTGTCACAGGCATGACATGAGACCTTTTGACAGACACATCAAAATTAGGCAAGGAGGGGGCAGGAAGAACATTCTGGGCAGGAGGGAATGGAGGCACAGCAGCCTGAAGTGGGAAGAAGCACAGGATTTTGAGCAAATGAAAGGTAGAGTAACTGATTCCAAAGAGTGGTGGGGAGTAAGAAGAATGGGAGATAAGGGTGGGATCAGGTCAAGTGGCCCTAGTAAGACTTTTGACCTGAAGACCTGGCGCCTCTTGGGCATTCTTGCCCGGCAGGGTTACCTAGCTGAGGTTGTGTCTTTCTCCTCCAGGCTCACCTCGTGGCAGCCTTTGAACAGAGTCTTGGAAACATGACCATCAGGCTCCAGAGTCTAACCATGACAGCTGAGCAGAAGGTAAGACAGGCTGCCTTTTGTTCCCTGCAATAAACCTAAAACCATTCTGTTTAATTTCAGACAATTACTCTCTTTAATTTCAGATAATTACATAGATTGGAATATACTTCTTGAACAAGAGAATTTAAATATCAAATAACCAGGCATGGTGGCACATGCCTATCATGAGGTGGAAGCAGGGGGATCACAAGTTTGAGGTCGGCCTTAGCAACTTAGGGAGACCCTGTCTCAAAATAAAAAATAAAAAGGGCTAGGGGATGTAGATCAGTGGTAAAGCACCACGGGGTTCTGTCACCAGAATGAAAGAAAGAAAGGGGCAGGAAAAGGGAGGAAGAAAAATAGGAAGAAAGAGGGGACAAGTCGAAGGTAAATCTGTTGAGTAAAAATATCTTAGATCAGTGATGATAAAGGTATCAAGGACAGATCTCAGGGTCCCATGCCCACTCCTTTTATGTATTCCTCTCTGGTCACTGAAAATTGATCCAGATTCGTGTAGCATACGAAGGTTCTGCTGAGCTCCTGTGTTTCCTACCCTGCTCTTTGGAAACCAGGTTATACTTCCCTTGAGCTCTGTAGAAAGTGATTTTAGGATGACCCATACATCTTTCTCGTCCTCAGGATTCAGAACTGAATGAGTTAAGAAAAACCATCGAGCTGCTCAAGAAACAGAATGCAGCTGCCCAGGCTGCCATTAATGGAGTAATTAACACTCCAGAGCTCAACTGCAAAGGTAAAGTGAGAAAGAACATTTAGAGAAATGACCCGCCCACCCTTGGCAGCGTCCCCTTGACAGCACTGACACAACCCCCCTGCTGGAGGTGGCTGGCTTGGAGTCCAGCTCTGTGTCTGCCAGGCAGGCCCAGGAGGCAAGCACCTTGCATCTGGTTGCTTCTGGCTTCTCAAAAGACTGCTAGCATAGCTTATCCTCTTCTCTGATGTATCTCAAAAAAGGAAGAAAATAGCTTTGTGCTGACTGAGTGTCTAAGTGTTTTTATAACCCTTAACTTCACTCATGCTTCCATGTTTCCATGTTGACATGCGAGAAACCAAAATGGGTTCCTCTTTTACTTGTCCCAGAAAACTTTCCAGATAAATTATTTTGGTTGCATCTTAGTTGGGGGTTTAAAAAAAAAAATGAACATGCAGGTGAGTTACCTCCTATAATCATAGTACCAACAGTAACCATGCTGGGGGTAGTGTTGATAGCTAGCACCTGTGGAGTATGTCAACTGTATTCTGAGCCCTGTGCTAAAAGTGTTTTCATTATTCTATTCATTATTTTGCTTTATTTTGCATAATGACCTTATCAGTGTCATGATGGTCCTTTCCTCATTCTGTTGAGGGGAGTACAGAGTTTGAGAGACAGCAGTGACTTTCTGAGGTCAGAGAGTGGGTAACAGAAGTGGGGCTGGATCTGAATAAAAGCTGGTTCTTTTAAGGACAAGGCTTTGGATACAGTTCTGTCCTCACAAAGAAAGCAGCTGTGTGGTTTGAGGAATCGCTGTTACATTCAGTATCCCTGTTCGCTTGGATATTGGGCCTCCTAAATGAAGTGATAATAGAGTTGAAATGGGAAGGGTTAGCAAGAGTTGGCCAAACAGAGTTGAAGAAAAGGAGAGCTGCAGAAGGAGGGCATGTGGAAGGCCCCTGAGCTGAGGTGGGCTTGGCACTTCCAAGGGGCGGAGCGGGGCAAGTGTAAAAAGAGCATAGAAAGCCAGCGAGCAGGTCTGGGGCTGTGGCTCAGTGGTAGGGTACTTGCCTAGCATGCACAAGGCCTGGAATTCAATCCCCAGTACTGCAGAATAAATAAATAATGAAGCAAAGAGGCAGAGACAGCTAGCAGCAAAGGTGACTGCTGCTGCAATTCAAACAGTATTTTCCGGCCCATCTGTGGATTTAAAGAGATGGCATCAGGGACATTCTCCCTGAGGCTACTTTGACTTCTGTTTTGAAAGTGGGAAGATAGACCCAGTTTAATTGACCAAAGAGGGCATAGCAACCATCTGCTCAAGGAACCCAACAGTGAGGACAGAGGAGATGTCTCAGGACCTGGCAGTCCCGAGTGTATGGATTTCAGATCGAGGGCCACGCTCAGGGACCAAAGATTGGGCTCAAGTCATCAGGTGCTGACATGCCCTGCCTTGCTCTCCAGGAAATGGCACCTCCCAGCCCACAGACCTCCGCATCCGCAGGCAGCACTCCTCTGACAGCGTCTCCAGCATCAACAGTGCCACCAGCCACTCTAGTGTGGGCAGCAACATAGAGAGTGACTCAAAGAAAAAGAAGAGAAAGAATTGGGTGAGTGTACATCCACAGAAGCTCCTGGGGACTAACCAACAGAGTCCATCACAGAGCCAGTGTCCCCCAGATAAAGCCCAGGCTGACTCACCCTCAGAACCATAGGCCTTTGGGAGTAGATCCAAGGAAACAAGTCTTTATAAAAGTCATTGTTGTACACAACAAATCCCTAGCATTTATAAAATCACCACCACCTTATGGTTTTTCTCTTTCATGAAACTTTATGTGGTGTACTCATCTTTCATTTTATATATGTGTCATTTCTTCTCATTCTATGTTGGCCACAGAGAGCAAAGTTACTCTTAAGTGGCTTCTTCTTAGTTTCAAAGTATTTTTTTGATCCTATACAAATAGTTAAATATTCTTAATCATATTCTTTATTTGTTTATTTGTATAGTTGCCTAGAATGGCATAAAACCAACCTTCTCTTTTAAAAAATTTTGACCATGATCTATACATAAAAGTTTCATAAGATCCACATCAGGAGTTGGAGAGCAGTTCTAAGCTAGAGGTTACACCTCAGGATGGCAAGTTTAATAGGTCTGTCCCCGGGCTGGGGATGTGGCTCAAACGGTAGCGTGCTCGCCTGGTGTGCCTGCGGCCCGGGTTCGATCCTCAGCACCACATACAAACAAAGATGTTGTGTCCGCCAAAAACTAAAATAAATAAATAAATATTTAAAAAAAAAAAAAAATAATAGGTCTGTCCCCCCTGCAGTGTTTCTCTATGTGTTCATAATCCCAATGAGTTACTTGATTTTCCATACTATGCTTTTTAAAATAGTTTTCCCTACATTCCTGGGGAATTTTACCCGCCTTTCCCTCATCCAATTTGGAGTCCTGCTATGAGGCTGGGTGACTTTTGCTACTCCCTGTCTTCAGTGCAGGACCACCCCAGGTGGATCTGAAATTGGCCCCTTTTGTCAATGCTGACAGCATCCTGTGTCCATGGTGGCTTTGGTGTCCTCATTCATTCCATACACTTCTTGCTCATTTTGTGTTATCTTGGATGGGTGGCGAGGTCTAGTGATGGAGAAGTTGGGGATTTAGTCATTTTGGTATGGATCACTTGCCTTTGAGGCAAGGTAAAGGTCTAGCTCAGTGTGGCCTTCTCATTATTCTGAATAATTTTTTAAAGTTATTAATAGCTTTTAGTCATTTGCTATGACTAAACAGATAGAATTAACTCCTTGCCATCTCTAATATGCCATTGATAAATATAATATTAGATTATCAAAATAATAAGAAGGGATTATTTTCTATGAAAAATAGTTGTTCCCTATTTTCTTCAAAACAAGAAACAAAATTCTGTTTATGTTACATTAAAGAAAACTCTTGGACAGTGAAATCAGGTGGACCCATGATTGGCATTGTCACCTTATCCCAAAATTTTAATTCTGTCTAATCTTGGTAATCTCCTCTTCCATCTGGCATTTTATCAGAGGTAGAGACAAGGGTTTAGTTTGTTGGCTTGTGTGCCAAGTGCATCTTTTTCTCTCTAGAAATACCAGAAGTAGAATATGAGAAAGCAATGGGATTTTGCTTACCCATAAGCTGGACGTGCAGTTTGTTAGAGATGAAGAACAATGATGGGAGAAAAACTTTATCAATTTGCCAAATGGCCTATTTTCTGAATTTCTCAATAGCTAAGAAAAACACTGGAATATATTTTCAGTAAGAAAAAAGAAAATTATTTTTTAAAAGACTTTTCTTCAAAACAGAATTTCTTTCTTTTTTTTTTTGGCTTAGAAAAATACATGCTACCCATGGCTTTCAGAGAATTACACTTAACTCTTTATATTCTCAAAGTTTCAGGCTCATCCCCATGGTTTGGGGAAATTATGCCAGTTCCTTTTGTCCAATATGGTTAACAGATTTCTAAATTAATTTCCACTTCTTGAGTGATGAGTGAGATGGAGAGTTCCCTCTTGCTTGTGTCTTGTGAAAGGATTGCAGGAGCTCCCCAGATAGAGCCAAGAGCCATACGACCATGTAGGGCCAGTGACACCATAAAGATGCCTTTGCTCAGAAAAAGGACATGTCCCCTTCCACCAAATTCATTCCTGGAGAGACAACTTATAAGAGGCAGGCAAGGGACAACAAGCACAGAAAGGTGGGAGCCACCATTTCAACCAGACAGGGAGAAGCTGGAAGAGCCCAGATTATGGGGTACACCCCAACTCACTCTTCCTTTCTTTTCTTAATGGAGGAAGATGTCCCCAGTGCCACTGAAGGTTCACATTCCTACTGGAAACCTCATGTGTGTGTGGTGTTTATTATTAGCCATGTTGTGTCTGAAAAGTCCAAAGCTTTCCCTGTCACTGGCTTTCTCTGTTAAAAATTGTCTTTTTTCCTTCCCCTTCCCCATTTTTGCTTGCGTTTTCTCTGGCAGGTCAATGAGGTAAGCAAGACCAACTTTAATATCAGATACCAAGCTAACCCATCCATTGATATGACTAACCTCATCCGCATCCGTCTCCGTGTCTGAGCATCCTGCTTTGTTGCTGTGCAGCCTCATCCTGCCCACACCCCTCTGCTGAGCCAGGCACTATCTTGCTGTTGGTGTCTAGTCTTGAGCCAAGAGTAGGCATGGAATGTTCCCACAGGTCCAGTCCTCTGAGCTGTCAACACCAGATAACTCTTCTTCCCTTAATGCACTGATTCGAGAGAGCTGTGGGGAGCCTTTTCCATCGGTGGGGGAAGAAGTGGGAGAATGAAGTATTCTGTTGTATGCATGTCTCTGTTTAGCCAAGGCCTGAGCATTGGCTGTGGCTCCCGAAAAGCTGACAGTCTTGTTTGTTCAGTTACGCAGCTCCTTCAAGCAAGCTTTTGGGAAGAAGAAGTCTCCCAAGTCAGCGTCCTCTCACTCGGACATTGAGGAGATGACAGATTCTTCTTTGCCTTCCTCACCAAAGTTGCCCCATAATGGATCCACGGGCTCCACTCCTCTGCTGAGGAATTCTCACTCCAGCTCTCTGTGAGTATCTCCTCTGGGGCCACCCTGAGAGCCCTCTTAGACGATAGACAAGACTGGGGAGTCTTGTTACGATTCACCTGCCCCTTGGGCTCCTCTGTGCTCTGACAGGACTTTGCGTGTTCTTCCAGTGTTTGAGGACCATGGAGGCTGAAAGAGGAGGAAACTGAGGCTTTAGTTATGGTGGTATCAGTGCCCATAATTAATAGCCAGTCTTAAGCAAGCTGCTCGCTTCTCCTGTCTCCATTTCTTTGTACGCCAAATTCAGATAGTGACTGTTATCTACTTATCCTGCCTTATGGATTGAACAAGATTAATGGACATAAAAGAGCTAGAACCATGTTGTTATGAGGGAAAGATGGTGTTCTGAGTATTGCCAGTTTTTGCTGAATTCTGGTTCATTTGGGTGATGAGACTTATACATTTCTTCTTTGATCAAATTTGTTGTTAACTCTTTCTGGAGGTAACAACTCAGAAACTGGATGTTTAAAAAAATGGAGAATTCAATGATAGTTCTCTTTATCAAAGGATGCTATATTACAGAAAATCATTCATGACCACTAGCAGATTTAACATGACATGAGGCAGTTTGTCCATCTTTCTTTAGGGACACAGCTGGGTTTTTTCAGGTATTTAGGTGCTGATCCCTGTGTCGACTGGTTACACAGAGAAGAGTCATTAGCCCTCCTCCCATGGTTCCCACGATGCACTCGCCTTCTTTTCCTGCATCTGGGTATAGGGAGGCAGTCCCATCAAGGCCCAGCCTCCACTGTTATAACAGTTTTGTTCTAAAACAAAGTTCCTTCTGTTTCACCCTCTCTCCTATGGGATGGAGGTGGACATTAAACAGAGAATCCTGAGTAAACTAGAACAGTCAGATCGTACTAAGGGTTAACATTGAGAATGAAAACAGTGCTGGGATGCAGAGTACCTTGGCAGCAACTTTAGATGGTGGTCAGGAAAGGCCCCACTGAGGAGGTGACATTTTAGCTGAGATCTTTATAACAGGAGGAACCACTGGTTAGTTCTGGTCAGTAACACTAGCTGCTGTAACAAACCCCATCCCAAAACTCTGTGGCTTTTCTTAACACTATTCATTTCTGGCTCACTCCAAACCCAATGCAGACATTCCTAGTCAGCAGGCAGTGTGCCCTGCTGGAGTCCTCGGCTCAGTACTGTGTCCAGCCCACTAGGGTGGAAGAGAGGAAGAGTGCGGAAGATCCTACAGGGGAGTTGGATGGGCATCAGCCTGGAAGAGGTGCATGTCCTCAGTCCTACAGTCCACTGACCAGGGCTCAGGGCTGTACCACCTGCAGAGGAAGAAAAGAAGGAAATGGGTGCTGGTGAACAGATGGGCCTTCCTAAGAAATAAATAGCACAGGAAATCTAATGTGGAAGCAAGCTGGATGAGTCTGAGAAAAAGGGATGGCCAGTGTGGCCACCACAGCATGGTCAAGGGACAGAATAATAGGAAGAGAGGCCTCAGAGGTAGGCAGGGCCTGTGACATGGAAGGCTCTGAAGTCCAAGTGAAGTTGACCTGATTTTGTGTACAATGGGCAAATTTGGAGAGTTTTAGGGAGAAAGGTGAGATTATCTGAATCAGTGTTCTATGGGTAAGGAATGTCCAGGAACAAGGAAGATCATTGGTTCACACTACTCTGGCCATAACACTTCCTACCTTAAGGCTTTGCCGTCACTGTGCCCCCTACCTGGTATGCTATTCCTCTTGATAGTCACTTCCTCAGGTCTCTGCTGTGTATCTGCAAGGCTTGGCCTGCCAGACATGGTGGTGCACACCTATAATCCCTGCATCTCAGGAGGCTGAGGCAGGAGGGTTGCAAGTTCAAGAATAGCCAAAGCAATTTAGCAAGACCATATCTCAAATTTTAAAATTAAACAAAAAGGGCTAGGGAAGTAGCTGAGTTGTAGAACACCCCTGGGTTCTGTCCCCAGTACAAAAACAACATCCCCCACCAGCACACCCTGTCATCCCCTTTCCCCTGCTTCATTTTTCACCATTGCACATATTGTCATCTGATGTATGGACTTCATTGGTTTCAGTTTTTTGCCTTTTGTTCCTCACCTTACCCCCAAATCTACAATATAACCTCTGTGGAGGTAGCTACTCTGTTGGCTTTGCAGGTATTCAAATATTTGGTGGAGTGAATGAGTGACTGTGATAGTGATGAGTCTTTGATGTATTTAGGTCTGAAAGAAAAATTGACAACACGGGTGATGGTCAGATGTGATGTGTGAGGGAAAGAGAATAATTATCCTTGGATATTCCTAGGATGGCAGCTTATGTACCTGGGACGGGTAGGAAACCCAGATGGGGGTGAAGAGGGACTCAGGAGCTGTGATTTGGCTGTGTTAACTGAGAGATGCCCAGGAGACACTCACATGGAGGATCCAGCCTGCCTGGGGTTCCTGGGGGTGTAGATTCAGGAGCCACGAGCTCCCGGTGGGAATGAAGGCTGGGGCACTGGAGTTCTCCAAGGGCTTGAATGGAGATGAAGAAGAGCAGAGAGGCAAGGACTGAGCTCTGGGGCACAACTGATGTTTGACGTTAAGGAAGAGAAAGTAGAGCATCTAGTGAGGTGGGAGGAAACCCAGAAGTAGAGAGAAGAAACTGCTTAGAAGCACAGAAGCAGGAGAAACTTGGCCACTTGCTGCTGGGAGGCCAAATCAGAGAGTGACAGTGATGAAGTCAGCTGTATGGACCAAGAGCAAGAGCACTTCTTCCAGACCACTGTCCCCTTAGAGATGGGGCAGAGCTGCTCTTTCCTCCCCTCCCCTCCCCTCCCCTCCCCTCCCCTCCCCTCCCCTTCTCTTCTCTCTCTCTCTCTCTCTCTCTCTCTCTCTCTTTCTTTCTTTCAGTTTTTTAAAAATACATTCCACAGTCTCCATGGATACAGATGTTTGGTTTTGGTCTAGTTTTTCCAAAGGGTGGGCTGAGAGAAAACGCTTATTTCCAACCTTGAAAGGTTTGTAAGAATGTGCAGATCAAGATGTGAGAGGGAGTTCAAAGAAGAAACCAAAGGCAGAGGAGTTGGGCCTCACCCCGTGGGCGAAAGGAATGGCAGCTGGAAGAAGGCAATGTTTCCCACACTTGGGCGTTTAAAATTAGGTATGCCACCAGCCCTGCCTTTGAATGAAATAGAGGGAATCTGCCAGAATAATGGGTTAGAGACTGAAAAAGCCTCCACCAGGTTGATTGAGTAAGTGGTCCACAAAGTGGACAAGGATGTATTCGGAGCCACTGGGTGAAATTCAGGAGCATGCATTGTAGAGTTAAGAGGACCTATTGAGTTTGATCCTGACTCTGTTACCCTTAGTGTGACCTTGGACATGTTAATCTCTATGGCTTACCCTCCCCATTTTCAAAATGGATGTTATTTTAGAACCTCTTCATGGAATTAGTAATATATGAAGTGAATGAAACAGTATCAGACACTAGAGAAACTGGAGTCCCACAGGAGCCAGTAGCCAAGTACAGAGTAAGCTAGTTGGGGAAGGAACCAAGGGAGAAGGGAGACAGTCTCAGACAGTAGGGATAGGCACTAAAACCTGGTTGGGGCTGGTGCAGAGGAACTTGTTTTCAACAGCAACTGTATCATGAGGCATCCTCTCCCACGGCCCCAGCATTGTGTGCTTCTGAAAGCTGGCTGATTTTGGAGAAACCTTGTGCTCCCAACACAAGTTTTCTTCATTTTAGTTTGCTTCCCTTTTGTCTTAAGACTATTTCCTGTCACTAAAACAGGTATTACATCACTGGGTAATGTATAAGGAGTAGGAGTTTCTTCAACTCACAATCCTTGCACGTGGTGCTGGCTACTGCTCAGCATCTTGTGGGTCACGGCAGGGCGGAAGGCATCTGGTGCAGTGACGCAAGCCCGCTCACTTGGTCTCTCTTCCTTCTCATAAAACCATGAATGCCATTGCTAGGCCTCATTCTTGTGACCCCATGGAACACCAATGACCTCCCAAAGCCCTACCTCCAGATCTCATTAATATATAATTTTGGGGGGTTTTGACGCAAACGGGTACCCAGACCTATGGCTCCCTTATGAAGTCATTGATTGGCTAAGCTTTGCAAAGTAACCCATGTGACATCATCCACAAAGCGGGTGCTGAGGAAATGTCATCTTTCTTGCTGAGAGAGCTTTCTGGGGAAAAAGTACAGATGACATGGAGGAGGCTCGGGGGGAGCCTGGCTGTGGAGTGCTGGGGGTACCCATCTGACACAATGAAAGCCAGCACAGACTGTTCTCCACCATGAAGTGGAGACCTCAGTATCAGTGCAGGGCATGGTTTGGCCAAGACCAGAGTATCACAGTGGAATTTTTTTCAGACTTGACTGTGTTTAAACCATGAAACTATGGTCCTCTCAAGAAATAACCAGTTTTTATAAGCTTCCCCTGCAAACCTGCTTAACCAAAAAGCAAAAAGTTCCACTTGAAAACCACAGACTATTCAAAGCTCGGAGAGCTGGGTGGAAGGGATGATCTGAATTCTAAAGGCATTTCTGTCTCTCCAACCCTTTTAGCCCCCAATCTGTTTGCTTTAAGTTTCTCATAGATATGGAATGACACTAATAACATTTTTACAAGTTCCTTGCATTTTTTTCAAGATTTAGAAGCCAAGAAGCTTCCTTGGTTGCTAACTTTTAAAACCAAGAGGTGGTTTTACTTTCTTTACCTCTCTCAAATCAAAATAGTTTAGGTGCAGGTCAAGAAAACAGCACCAGAATGGTTCAGTTCAAGTGTTAAATTTTTCTTCTGGCTCCTTCTGTGCCCCAAAATACAATGACATCTCTCTTTTTAAAGTTTTATAAATAATTTTCCTGGGGTGATTAAAATTTCCACCCCTTCAACCAGTTTTACAGGTTAGGTTTTGTTGGGCCCCAAATCCAGCACTCGGGTCTTGGCGAGCAGGCTCACAAGCTCAGAAGCTCCCTGCCACAGAACGGAGGCTGCGTGTTCCCTGTCCCTTCCCTTTTCACACATAGCCAGCTTCAGCTCTGTAGCTTTTTGAACTTGGGGAGAGTGTTGATAGTCCCCACCCCGCCCCATCTTCAATTCAAAAAGTGTCAAAGCCTTCTGTCCTGGATCACTCAGTACCCCAGATCCTAGGATGTTTGGAATTCATGGAACTTTTTTTTTTTCTGTTTTAATAAAACTCTTTTCTGAACATTGCAAGTCATCACAACTTTTATGGTCTCCTGCTTTGTACAAACCTGCCAGGAATCTGAAGACAAACCTAACCAAATAAGCAGTCCAGCCTAGCCTTTTTTAAAGAAAAAGGCTCTCAGCAGTGTCCCACAGTCACTTTAACTTGATATATATCCAGGACTGGAAGATAACTAGTCACGCTGTTGCTTGGCTTTCAGATAGAAAGTCCCCACGTCCACTCTAGTCACTAATTCCCTGAAGCTGATCTTTTGCCTGAAGCATGTGGGGGTGATGCAGGTGGATCTCTCTAGACATATGTCCAGGAGTGAGCTTTTAGAATGAGATAAGATGAGCTTCTTCCCATATCTTTAGGTTTCTTCCTCTTTTTTGGCCAATAAAAATAACCCCTCGGCTGTTTAACCTTGGAGTTCTCTCATCTTGAAAACAGATAGTTGGCCTCAATTCTCTGAGTTTAGAATTCAGAGGCTGCATGGTGTCTTTATGGGGTCCCAGCCATGTATACATTGGGGAGTGTTCAAATGCCCAGGGTTGCTATTCCCTTTACTAGCTCCTGCTTATGCCTCAGTTATTGGGATTTTTGCTGACAGGTGCACCCGAGCCATTCTGATTGCCAGAGCTCTGCAAAGGAATATTGTAGAAAGTAATAAAATCTGTAAATTTTAGGTGCTTTTGGTATTGTCACCTCTAAGAAGCACCAGGAAGGTGGTCGTGCAGAGTTACTACTGAACAAACTCGATGATTGATGTGGGCCACTGGTCAGTAGGGGACTAAAAGGAGCTGGATTCAGAACTGCTTCTGTTAGTGACATTCCCCCTTTCTCTAGAATTTCGGAGTGCATGGATAGTGAAGCCGAGACGGTCATGCAGCTCCGAAATGAGCTGAGAGACAAGGAGATGAAGCTGACGGACATCCGCCTAGAAGCGCTCAGCTCTGCCCACCAGCTCGACCAGCTCCGGGAGGCCATGAACAGGATGCAGGTGAGAGTCCAGAAGGGTGGACTGGGCCCAGGGTTGACTAGAAAGGAGCTCCAGGAGGCTGCTCTGTGCCAAGCCCTGAGGGCTACATCGGAATCTGGTGGCCACCCTCTGCTTTCCTAGCCCCTTTCTCTTTTCAGTCACTTACACATATTGCTCAGTTTTATTAAATAAATAAGAATAAGAACAATCATTCCCCTCATTGCAGAAGAATTTCAGTAGCTCTCCTGCTGCCTCTTGCAGTCTCCTTTGGGACTTAAGGCCTTCTATGGAGCCCTTTTTACTCTTAACCCACACCCTCCCCATTTCACTTTTCATCCTCCACTCAAAGGCCAGATGGAGCCATGAATGGTTTCCTCAGCAAACCCTGGGAGTTTCTGTTCCACACCATTCCCTCCACTGGGAATATCCTTCTATGCATCCCAATGGAACCCTTCCTCCAAGGTTCAGCCTATCAGGTCCTACAGCTGGAAGTTAGTGCCCTCCCGGATACAGTGTAGGTTGGTTCTTGCAGGCATTCCCATCATCTGCCAAGGTAGAAAGACATTTGGATCTTTGTTTTTGTAAAGTAGTTATGAAACAAAAGATTCCTGTGGGTATGCTGAATGGAACCTCACTGGAGAGCAGCATTTCCCAAAGTTGGTTCCCTGAAACATTTGTTCCATGAGAAGCTCTATGAAAGAATAATGCCCTAATCAAGTGTGTTGGGAAATGCTGCACGTCATGTGCCCTTCTCAGACTCATAAAGCACAGCAGCTCATTAAAGACCTTGAAAAAGTCCCACAGTAAAGAAACCTGTGAAACCCAGAGTGACCCAAACCTCTTAGATGACAATTCTTTTTCACTGAACACCCAAGCGGCAGACTGTGGGAAAGTCAAGTTTCTGAGTGCTTCTTCTCAAAGACCAGTTCTCTGCAATGATGGAGCCTGCCCTGCCAGATACATTGTATGTATATAGTGAAGGGTGGCATTACCTGAGGGTGTTACCTACCTTGTCTAGGCTCTCCACTGGGTTCCTGCAGGAACTTCCAGATCCTTTTTCTAGAAAAGGCTTGTTCTCATGGCATCCTCCTAATGAGTGCACTTCTCCCTTACTCTTCACAGAGTGAAATAGAGAAGCTGAAAGCTGAGAACGACCGGCTGAAGTCGGAGTCTCAAGGCAGTGGCTGTAGCCGGGCCCCCTCCCAGGTGTCCATCTCGGCCTCCCCAAGGCAGTCCATGGGCCTCTCCCAGCACAGCCTGAACCTCACTGAGTCAACCAGCCTGGGTGAGTAGCTCTCAGGGCTGGGGGCAGGCCTGGACCTGCAGCTGGCGCTCTGGTCTCCAAGCAGGTGCCCCAAGATAAGCAAGTCAACAGATCAAATGAAGAGGCAACAGGCGTGTGTGCACTTGGGGTGTGTGTGTCTGGGTGTGCGTCTGCTACCAACATGAACCCAGCCATTAGAGTGCTCTCATGCTTTGCTCCAGCGCCCCCAATTGTTCCAGCCGTGAGCTCAGACCCCCTTGCCCACCATGCTGAGCTGTTTGATTCATTTTAAGAGGCTGAGTGCTACAGGCGCACCCCACAGCAGCAGGCCCCAGTGGGGTGATGGCTTGGCCCATGGTCTTCCTGCCTTCCGGATGGTTCCAGCTGGCGCATCATCAGTGAACATGACCTAGGTCCTCCTTGTGAGCATATTGAGGCTGATGCTTTTATTTTTTATCCATGATGCTGCTGCTGCTGTCGTTGTGGTTCAGTTTCTCCCCGCACCTCCATTTGGCAAGATGCACCATCAGCCTGCTGGTTCCTTGGTTGGTCCACCGCTGGTTTCTGTGGTTGCATTCTCCATTCTGCCCCCTCCCCACCCCCTCCCTCACCCTACTTCCCCTGCACCCCGACACCTGGTTTATCCCGCTGCTGTGCCAACAGGCAGCGGGGGTGTCAGGAAGCCGGCTTTGCTGTCCCCATGTGCCTAAGGCTGTTGATGTTTTCCATTCGCAGACTTGTTGCTGGATGACACTGGTGAATGCTCGGCTCGGAAGGAAGGAGGCAGGCATGTTAAGATAGTTGTCAGCTTTCAGGAGGAAATGAAGTGGAAGGAGGTTAGTTGGATCCCTTTCCCTGCTCTGCCTGTTCCTTCCCCAGGTAGAACTACCTAGCTTAGTGACTAATTGTGGAACTGTCTCACTTCCTAGCCTAAGGTGATTTGGAAATACTACTAACGCTTTTCTTAATACAGTAGTCCCCCCTTATCCATGAGGGAGACGGTCCAAGACCCCAGCTGGTGCCCGAAATGGCAGATAGTACCGAACCCTAGAGGCATTAGTTTTTTTCCTAGATATACAAATCTAGGAAAAAGTTTAATGTATACGTTAGGCCCTTTAAAAGACTGACAATAACTATTATCAAAATAGAACAATTATAACAATATACTGGGTGGACCACAAGTAACTGAAAACAGAAAGCAAGATCTCAAATAAGTGGAGACTACTGTAGCCACCACCCCAGTAGCCCCTGACCCCATGAAGGTGAGCGAATGGCACTTCCCTCCCCCATGTCTGTACTAACAAAGTGTACTAAGGACTGTCCCGCGCTGCACTTTCCTGTAATTAGCTAAACATTAACATCCGCAGAAATGTCTATTCTGAGTTTAATATATTCCCAAAGCACTTCCAGTGCAACTCAGCACTTTTAGCATGTAAGGTATGGAGATAAGTTAACTGGAATCCACTGGCCAGGAACGCTAGTTTTCTCTCATCAGAGCCGGCAGACAGAGAGGTAGATGAGTGTGGAGCTGGTGGAGCATCCTGTCACTGACACTGAGTTTTCTGAGTACAGTTTCCATACTAGAGTCTACACCGTTGCCAGAGAAGTGGGTGCAGGTGGGGGCTGACAATAAGAGTTGCATATTAGTAATTAAATTCCAGTGTTGCTCTCTGAATGACCTTGGCCTAAGTGAGTGGGAAAAGGCCTCATGACTCACCATTGCAAGTCCCTTTGAATTTTTAAATTTTTACTTCTTAGCATTTCTAGCCAAAATGTTCTTCTATACAGTTTCAGACAGCTAGAGAACCCTCTGTGACCTTCTAAACAAAATATCTGCAGGCAGACTGCTTTGCCAGGGTTTCCACTTCATGGTTGGCTCACAATCCTCACTGAGTTGGATTAAGTCCTGAATTTTGGAGCTTCCAGGGGTGTTAGGATCATGTGACCTAGAAAGATACAGCAAAGAGGTCCATTTGCAGAACCCGGCTAGTGGAATTACAGTCGCCAAGAGAGAACTTCATCCTTATAGTGTTCCTATAGGAATTGCAGAGAGTCCTGCAAACATAATGTCTTCTAGTGATCATCAATGGGAACAGAGAGCATTTAATTTTTCCAGTTCACAAGTCACTGTCAATAGTTATTTCCTTCTGGATCACTACGCATCAGGTGAGGTTGGCTAACCAGGGGTTATTATCCATCTTACAGCTGAGAAACCAAGACTCACACATCACTTATTTGAGGCCACAGGCAAGTGGTGAATGGGTTCAGGTCATCTCAGCAAGACTGGGGCTCTTTTCTCTGCTATTTTGCTTGACTGCCAGCTGCTCCCTCCCCTCCACCCACACCATCCCTCTCCTAACTGTTGTTGTGAGCATGTGAGATAATTAAAAACCCAACAGAATGGAATGTTCTATCAGTTTTTCTTTAATCAATGTGATTTGTTAGCCCCTGTGGGCATAGATGCAAAAGAAGTAGAGTATTTTTTTGGCCATCTTCCCAGAGTTTGAGTTTTCTAAATTGAGCATGTTTTCCTTTTAATAAGAAAAGTAATGTTATTAAAAATCAAAAAAGAAGAAAAGAAAAAATATTTTGTCTTGAGTAAGTTCTAAGATCTAGCAAGGAAACAAACTTGACTTTAATAATAATAATAAGACAGAAATAGCTAAAATTGAATATAAGCAAGTACAGAATACGTCATTATATATGTTGTGTCCTGAACCTTTGGTGCTCTGAGCCAGGTGGTGAATTGCTGAAGGCTTCTTGGAAGAGGTGAGTTCCCAAGGTTTGAAAAGGCAGAGATGGCAGACAGGAGGTGGGAGGGGATTCTAGGCAAGGGATGTGTGATCCACTTGCTGTACAAGGTGTGCACTTAGCAGGAGGCTCCAGACTCCAGAGAGGAGATTTTTATCTTACCCATTGCAATTTTAACAGTGGAACAGGGAAGGGTTTTGAGGCTGTTGAATTCAATGTAAGTTATGCCTGGCATTGAAACACATAGGACTATTACTCCCCCTCTCAGACATTGGTGGAGTTATGGGGCAATCTAAGTCCTCAGGTGAACAGTGTCAGAAAAGATCCACTTGTTTTTCACCTGCCTACATTTCCTTACCCTTAGGACTCCAGACCACACCTCTTTCTTATTGGCTGCATTGGAGTTAGTGGCAAGACGAAGTGGGATGTGCTCGATGGGGTGGTTAGACGGCTGTTCAAAGTAAGTGTGGCAAGAAGGTAGCTATGGCAGTTTGCCTGGCACAGGGACCTGGGCTCGGGGAGGGAAAGGGAGGCCCCATCCTTAACTTGGCCATTTCTCCAGCCTGGCCCCACTCCACATCCTTACATTGCTGGGACTTGACCCCTGGCTGTCCAGAGAATGGAAGGGCTATGGTAAGTGCAGACTGGTGGTTGGTAAAACTCTATTCATCTGCCTTTGGCAATGACTGGCCAGGTGGTGAGCATCATTTGTGCAGTGATTTGATCCTTTTATGGCAAACTGCTCATGTCTGAATTCTCTTTTTACCTGAGAATTGCCTTATTAAATATGCTCTGGAATACTTGATCTGTGGCTAGGATGAGATACCATTTCCACCTGTTACTTAAAGGGGTTGGGTCTGATTTGCCCATCAGATTCCTATGCCAATGCTTCAGAGTTTTTGATTTGTGCTGCAAATGGCAGGGACATCTGATTGAAGGCCAGCTTCAAGGATGTTGGCAAGTCACTTTTTTGTTCCTGTCAATTATCACTGGACTGGGTGTTTGCCACAGGGGAAGTAGCTAATGAGTACCAAGGGGAACCCTTGAACATAGGTGATTGGAAAGAAGCTTTCAAGCCCTTTTTTTCTGTTGTCCTGAAGTAAATCAATAGCCATCAATATTGTGTTAATCCTATCCCTTCAGTAGTAATATGTTGTCTGTGTCAGAAACCATGCCAAGCCCTTTATTCCCATTTAAGGTTAGAAGGGTGAGGCTTATTAGGCCAGAGCATCTTCCTAAGGCCATGGATCTAGAACTGGACCAATGGTCTAGTCAGTTGTTCTGATTTCCACATCTGACTTAATTAGTAGACCATTGTTTCTTTGTAGCATCTAGACTCAGGTGGCTTCACACAGAGAAAATTCTGTTCTTATTTTCTTTTCCCCCATTTTTTTAATTGGTACATTATAGTTGTACATATTGATGGGCTTTATAATTACATATTTGTATATACACACAATACAACAATACAATTTGGCCAATATCACTCCCCAGCAGAGAATTCTTTTCTTTGATCAAAGATTGTCCCCCATCTTGCAAGCCAGTCTGTGGAAGTGTGATCCAGCAAGAGACATGAGTGGCTTAGGACAGGCAAATTCACCTACCCCAAACAAAACCTTACCTCTACTATAGAGTAGGCATCATCCTTGGGTAGAAAGCAGCAGTGTGGGCTCAGGAGGAAAGGTGAGTACTGGAGGCTCTTTCCTGGGACTCAGCTCAGCCATTTTGTGGCCACCCCAGCCCATGGCCTGAGTTCCACATTCACTGACCTAAATCCTATTGGTCACCTACAAGGAAACACTTCAAATTAAACACACATTCTGCTTTTCAAAACTTCATGGCTGGTTTGGTTTTTTTTTTTTTTTTTTTTGCCCTAGGTTTTATTTATCCTCTTTGTTATCAGCCTGGTCTTCACACTAGGCAACTGGAGGGGTTGGTGAAGAGATTTCCTGTCAGAATTACTTTGGCATGAATTTCCCAGCACGATCACAGGCCCTGATACCTTTGAGACTTCAGCTGGACTTAGGAAGAGCAATTCAGCCTTTCTGTGCGTCGTTCCTCCAGACTAAACATTCACAGTGTTGTGAGGGGTCTGATTTCTTTCCCCAACCCCAACCAAATAAATTTGTATTTTAAGAGGCCTGTGATACGAGGGCATTGTCCCCATAGAGTCACCTCTTCTAGTTCTCATTCCACAGCCCAATTTCAACTCAGTCGTCATCTGAGAAAGAAGAGGGGATGACCGTTAAATCACCCAATGAAAGCATGAGTCACAGGCAGATTTTAGCCATCTCTGATGGGGTCTATTTTTTTTTTCTCCAGGAATACATCATTCACGTCGACCCTGTGAGCCAGCTAGGGCTGAATTCAGACAGTGTTCTCGGCTACAGCATTGGGGAAATCCAGCGGAGCAGCACTTCCGAGACCCCAGAGCTCCTTCCCTGTGGCTACCTGGTGGGAGAGAACACCACCATCTCTGTGACGGTCAAAGGTAATGGGGCCCATTGCAGAGATTGGAGTTTTCAAGAATCGCATCTGAATTTTGTGACGGTGTGAGAAATCATGGCCACGGTTTTGTTTGAGCACACGTATGTGGGTGGTTGCTCATTTCATTCTTTTCTTCGGCCACAATCAGTCTTACCTAAGAAAGTTGAATAGTCTGGCTTTTTCAACCACCATCGGAAACAAATCATTTTAGTTTATTGCTGAAATTATATATCAAAAGATCTCATTAGCTGTATGACTCTAAGGTGATAGAATCTTAATAACCCCATTGAAGTGGCGCCTGGCCAATAGCAGTGAAGGACTCTTGCCAGCAAGCTTTGGATGTGATCCCATTCTACAGAAACCACCATGTGCCGTAGGCTGCAGGGCGGTCGCTCTGAGCATCCTGATGAACTGTGAAACTCTTGCCCACGCCTGATGCTGCTACAGCTTCCGATGCCTCATCACCCAGAGATGTTAAGCCCCAGGCCAAGTGTGTTCCATTGAACTTGGCTCCAAAGTTCTTCATGGGTTCATAAAAAATTTCACAGCCAAATAAATCTAGGAAACCTCAGTGTTATTCCCACTTGAGTTTGGGGACTGAGGGCAGAAGGACATCAGTCCATTGAAGATCTTTTAGTTAGTAAAAAACCTGTTTAGACAACCACAGTGGTGTACACACATAATCTCAGCTACTTAGGAGGCTGGGGCAGGTGTTTAGCCTGCAACTTGACCAGAACCCATTTCAAAATAAAAAGTCCAGCGTGTAGCTCAGTGGTATAGCATGCGTTAGTCATTTCTGTGGATGGGAAGAGAGGAAGTTTATAGTCCAATCTTTTCCAAATTTAAAACTTATTTATTTATGTATTCCATGAACCACATAATTAGTAGACTCTGATAAGCCCTGTACAAGGCCTATCTTTCACTTGCGGCATGTCTTACTTCCCCGAAAGGCACTAATCTCTGCTGTCAATTCAACATTATAATTTTGTAGTAGTTTCATACAAGTTTTATTTTCTAGTAAGTATTTTCTCCAAAAGCACCCCAACATTCCCCACTAGCAGGAAACCAAATCCACCTCTGCTAGAGACAAGTGGTGCATTGCTGCTTAGGCCTCAATCTAGCCTCACTGGTAAGGGCAATTCCATATTGTACCTTGAACTACAAGTGACAGAAACCAACGCAAAAGTAGCTATAGCATAAAAGGGAATGTATAAATTCAGATACCTGGGAAATTCAGGGTTATGCCTCAGGCACAGCTGGATCTAGATACTCAGTGTCCTCAGGACCAGGCCTGCCTCTGCGTGGTTCATCACTGATTGCTTTTGTTTAGCTGTCTGCACATGGTTGATGAAATGGCCCCTGGTGACTTTTATTCTTCTTTCTAGCATAGGAACCTAAAGGAAAGAGACGTCTTTGGAAGTATAACAGAAAATGTCTAGGGCTAAACTCTGGCTCTCCATAAGTTAAATATCCAACACTGAGTCAATCATTATGATAAGGGTGAAGCTTTGGTCCACCCCAGTTACAAGCCTACCCTTTTGGGGGGACAGAGGGATGAATGAACTCCACTTGAACCACCTGGAATGAGTTGAGCTCCCTATGAGAAAGATTTTTTTTAAAAAAAATTGTGGCACTAGGACTTGAATCCAGCATCCCTGGTCCTTTTTATTCTATATTTTGAGATGGGGTTTTACCCATGTTGCTGAACCTGGAGAACCTTGGCCTCCTGAGTTGCTAGGATTGCAGGTATGTGCCATCATGCCTGGACTGTGAGAAAGAATTCTTGTACAGAGAAACAAGAAGAGATGCCAGGCACATCAACACAATAACTGTCCATGACAAGAACCCTCTCAGAAGAGCCTTTCTGTCCTCAGCATCTTGTCTTTTACCCGTGCTGCCAGGCATTCTCACTTGGAGTGGTACGAGGGGAAGGGGGTGTGACTTGGCATATTCTGAAGTGAGTGTGTCTGCAAGATAGTCACTGCCTGGGTGTTTTACTGCAGAAGAACAAAACAGCAACATATATGCAGAAAGTGTTTGAGTGATATTTTCCTGTTATTATTGGTTTTTTTTAATTGTCACTATTATTAAATTTGGACTAAAGGCTCTACCCACACACATCGAGGTTTGAGCCAGTGTAAGCTGTCTTGAGCTCAGTAGGAGGAGGATCTTAGGCCTGTCCCTAGCAGATAGGCATTTGGGGACCTTCATCTTGGTCATTCTGGAGCAGCCGTTGCTTCAGGAGGTTACTCCTGGTTGGGGGAGGATTAGAAACGAGCATATAAACGCATTAGGGGTGTCTGCTTAGTGAGTAATTATGTGCAAGGATGATGCCATTATAAAACAAAATAAATTCCCTTCAGTTTACTTTTTCACTTACATATGCTGGTTTCCTTGGGGAATTTTTAAACAGAATCACATTAGACTCTGACTGGCTAACTTCAGGTGGATCTTTTCTTGGGGATGATATCATGAAATATTAAAGCCAACTTTCCCGGTTAATAAAGTTGTCCCAGAAAGCCAAGGGGAAAGATCAGTTCCAGCTTGTCATTGGGGATCAGGGTGTTCAGATGCAGGTTTCTGCCCAGGTAGGCTGGTACTCACATTCCAAAATCCATTGGCCCCACCTTGCATTGTTCCTTGTTTTCATGATAAAAATGCTGAGGCCTTCATGATAAATCCATCTGTGGGTGGCAGTGGTGACAGGCAGGAGAGGGCAGCAGGGAGAGGCAACTCTAAGGATATGGCAGACACAGGTGGAGGAGACTCGGGTGTAACTTGGGCAGATAGGCCAGCAGAGCCTGGAGTCTCAGCACCGCAGAGGACAGATGACTGAGGGCCCAGATATTAAGGTCAAGTCTGAAGGTGGGAAAGTCAGCCAAGATGGGAGCCAGAAGCACAAGGTGCTATTGAACAGGGAGGTGACTTCCCAGGGCAGCAGCAGTGTCCTGTGAGCTCCTAGTACATCTGGGTGAGCAGCAGTCTCAGGTGAGTGGGCTGCCAAGGAAAGGGATCACATCAGGTCTCCGAAAGCACAGAACATTACCCTTCCTACAGGCTTCTCTTCTCTCAAATGCAGGGCTCGCAGAAAACAGCCTGGATTCCTTGGTGTTTGAGTCCCTGATCCCCAAGCCCATCCTGCAGCGCTACGTCTCCCTGCTCACAGAGCACCGGCGGATCATTCTCTCTGGCCCCAGTGGCACCGGGAAAACCTACCTGGCCAACCGGCTGTCGGAGTATGTGGTGCTTCGAGAGGGACGGGAATTGACCGACGGGGTCATCGCCACCTTTAATGTGGACCATAAGTCCAGCAAGGTGAGGAGGTCATTTTGAACCTGCTGCATTTGAGGTCCTTTCAGAACTGATGATACCACCAGCTTCCTGAGGAGGAAAGAGGGCAGAATGAGGTGGGCCGAATGGGGCTGGCAGAAGGGAAGCCTCTGACTCGGGTCCTGCCAGGCAGAGGCTCCCTGTATGGGTTGAGTCGATCCCATTCACTTCTGATCCTCAGTGCTAGCAGTTCTCAAGATTGCCCCAGATACATACCAGGTTGGTTCACCAAGAATTTATCATGAGCCTACTATGTGATATTGTTTTTCCAAAATAAAACCTTTTGTGGGAAAACTACAGTAACACCAGTAACGATAATAAATAACTGCGCACATTTATGGACTGCTCGCCCCATGAACCAGACTCTTCCTCCTCACAGTAATACCTTCAAGGGAGTGGTTGTCACTGTCCCCATGTTACAGAGGAGGGAACAGAAGCTTAAGGCAGATTCATCTTGTGCCTGAGACCACTCAGATGGTACTAAATAGTGGAACTTGAGCTCAAGTTGAAGTGCCAGGTTCTTGAGCCCTGTGGGCAGCAAATACACTCCTTCCCACTCCATAAAGAGCAATGGGAACCTGTGTGGAAGGAGTCCGACCTAATCCCAGGGAAGGGCTGTGAAGGGCTTTCTCAGACCTGTCCTTTAGTTCATGCAGTGATGGATTGCTCACTCTGGCTGCCCTGTTGCAAAAGGGCCAGAGAATCAAAGATGAATCAGAAATGGCTCCCCTGCCTTATGACCACTTGGTATGCTTAAAGACACAGAGCCCTAGACCTCATGCTTTCCTAAGTGACCAGGTTGTGCGGGCCCAGGAAATCTGGGCCTTCCCATTCTTAAGTTCCCCAAGTGATTTCAGTATAAGGACAGGACAAAAGAAAGTGAAGCCTTCTGTGTGAATTAGAGAAGGAAGGCCGTCCAGCAGGTAGCTGGGGAGCAAGCCCAGGCTGGGTTTCAGCTCTCACTTCCCCTCCCCTGGGCGGGGCCCTCTTCGTACACAGCATGCTGCAGGGCTGAGGGCTCTGAATCTCAGAAGCCAGGAGCCCTGTTCTTGACAGATGCCTGAGGTCAAAAACATGAGAAGAAGTGGGGCTGCAAGAACTAGTAAAATGTTGAGCTTTTTCTACTGCCAGCAAACCCCATTTAACTTGAAAGGGAGACCAGGTCTGGGTATGTGCTTGTAGGAGGTAGAAGAAAGTCACCCTGCTGAGCTAGGCCAGCATCTAGGACAGGCTATTGTGGCGGAGACACTGGGTTAGGCACCTGAGTCTGAGCCCACCCCACACCTTACCCTGGTGAAATCTCGGGCGAGCTACCTGACTGACCTGTCTCATCACAGTACCTGCCTAATGGGGTTATTGGGCTACTGGATCTCATGTCTGCCTCAAGGGATACCAGCTATTGTGATGATAATGTTATCAGGCAGCCATTCTGGGTTCTCTAGGGCATCCTTACCTCACCATCTTCCCCTGCCAGCCTTTCCCCATCACACCAACACACTCTCTGTTCCTTTCCTGAGGCATGCCCTACCCTAGGCTCACTGGGCTGCAGTTCCAATCCCAGCTGTGCCAATGCCCCACCCCTTCTTCAGGGTTTAGTTCAAAGCCTGAGCCCTCTACAGGGCCTTCCAGGATCCCCCATGCTTGTAGATTGTCCTCCCTTGTGCTGCTCATTGGGTCAGCCATAGCACTGATCAGTATCCTCCCGTGTGTGGCTGGGCCTCTGCAGCACTGATGGACCCAAGGCTTCTGTGTGTACAGCTCTTCTGTGTGTACTTTGCTCACCCCCTGGCCACCCGGCATCCCCTGATGCCCAGTAGCAGACAGCTGCTCAGAATGTGTTCACCAGGGTGGGAGAGGGGCTTCCGCCTGCACTGGCCTGGGTAAATGAGGCCCTGAGCATGCACAGCCATTCACCAGCTTGCTTTCCTCTGCGTTCCGGATCTCTATAGGAATTGCGGCAGTACCTGTCCAACCTTGCCGATCAATGCAACAGTGAGAACAATGCTGTGGACATGCCCCTCGTCATCATCCTGGATAACCTGCATCACGTCAGCTCTCTGGGCGAGATCTTCAATGGGCTGCTCAACTGCAAGTACCACAAATGGTAAAGGCCTGTTCTGGACCCCAGCATCCCTGAGCGAGTGTGCTGCTGTCTGCAGGTGGCCCAGGCCAACATGGCAGTGAGGCGATGTGTGCACATTGGGCAGGGAGGGGAGGTAGCTAGCCCATCCATGTCCTGGATGTACAGATGCCACAGGCCCCCATGAGCCCCTCATTCTCCAGCTGGCCTAGCTCACAAGCTTTCTCTTTCTGTTTCCCCACAGCCCTTACATCATTGGCACAATGAACCAGGCTACCTCTTCTACTCCCAACCTGCAGCTGCACCATAACTTCAGGTAAGTCATTACTTCCCTTGTCCAGTTGGACGATGAAATCACAAGGAAGGAAAGCAAGCCCACGTGAGGCAGGAGCCCTTTTTGGGTGTCTGTTATGCCGAGCATCTTGTTAAGTAGTTTCCCCAACTTAATTCATTTAATTCTTACTTTGGCCTCAAGTATTTACGTTTGTCATTCTTAGTTCACAAATGGGCAAACTGAGGCTCAGAGAATTTAATGACTCACATGAAATCATGTAGCTGGTCAGTGGCAGAGCTGAAGCTTCAACCTGGTTTAAGTTTCTCTGACCCTCAACCTGCTGGAGTAGTGTCCAGGAAGCAGCTGTGCAGGGGCTGTTGGCCCTTGGCCACTCCTGTGGGTTACCAGAGATGCCTCCCTTTGTCCCAAGTGAGCATTGGCAATGACAATCAAAGTTACGAATGACCCCACATAGCTGGGTCTGTGGTCCTTCACGGTCCTGCGTGAATTCCTGGTCGCTCGTCTCCCCCTCCCTGTTTGCCCCAGCACTCCTCGGACTCTCTCCCAGCCAGGGTATGGGGACTGTTTGACTCTGTATGTGGGGTTGTGTGGCTGCTTACCTCAGCATCGCTCAGCACCCTTCCCGCTGCCTGTACCTCCTCTGACTCGGCCTCACCCCCCTGGGCCCTTAGATGAGGGTAAAAATTTGTCTCCTGGACTGGGACCCCCGGTTCATCTTTGAGAGAGACCTATTAAAAGTGGTCTGGACTGTAACTATCAGAAAAATGTCAGCTACTCCAGGTCACCAAGAACAGGCTGCCCTCATTTTGTCATCCTGTCTGTGCTTTCTCTTGACTGTCCCTTGAGCCCATCCTCCCACCCACCCTAAGCCCCAGCACTGCTGCCTCTCCCAGCACAATGCTAACCAGCATGCCTGCTGCCTGGCCCCCTGCAGGCCACCTTCTGCACCATGGCAGCCGGGGTGAGCCTTCCAGAATGCTCATCTGACCACAGGCCTGGACTTAAAGTCTTTCAGTGGCTCCCCGTGGCCTTCAGAATGAGATCTCCTTAATAGGGCAGGTCAAGCCTAAACCCAGGCTATACTGAGCCTCTGGCAGCAATTCAGAACATCCCAGGCCTTTCCCAGGCCTCTGCAAAGGCTGCCTCATGCTCCCCACCTCCCACCTTGACACCCGCTCCTGCCTTTCCTCGTGTTGCTGCCCCATCATCCCTTCCGTCCCAGCCCTTCCCTGATTCCTTGGGCTTCATCATGTCTCAGCTCTTCATTTGCTTGTCCACCTCCTCCCATCCCAGACTGCAAACTGCTGAAGGCCAGGGGCCATGTCAGAGACATTGTTAGTGCTCCATAACTTTATGCAGAGCCTGGCACCGAGCACAAGGGGCAGTCTCTCGCAGTGGCTAGAGCTCAGACTGCCTTGGTTCGGATCTTAGATCTTCTATTAACTAGCTATTGGATCCTGGACAAGTTATATAACTCAGCTTTGCTATCTATAAAATAGGCATGGCGATAATACTTATTTTGTAGGGTTGCCATTTATGGTGAATTCACATGTACACTGTGGAGAAGTGTTCCATGGTCTTATGTTAGTATCCGTCTATACACTTCCCATTCCTAATAAGCTTTTGATCTTGGGATTGGCCATCGTTGTACTCACTCTCATCACTGTTGATCCTGATTTCCCCTAGGTGGGTGCTTTGTGCCAACCATACGGAGCCCGTGAAGGGTTTCCTTGGCCGGTTCCTGAGGAGGAAGCTCATGGAAACGGAGATCAGTGAGCGGGTACGGAATGTGGAGCTGGTGAAAATCATTGACTGGATTCCTAAGGTCTGGCATCACCTCAACCGCTTCCTGGAGGCTCACAGCTCCTCAGACGTCACCATCGGTAGGTGGGAGGCTGGGCACAGGGTGCAAGCTGGCTGGCAGGCACTGCTCCGGGCCCTGGGGGTCCTCTGGTTCCTGGCCCGGGCAGCACTCCACAGGATGTTGGGCAACACTGTCCTTCAGGATAAGGAAGTGAGCAGAGGGGCAATTGCAGACGGAGATAGACCCCAGACCCCAGTGATCAGCAGAGGAGAACTGTGTCCTACCCAGGCTGGTGGAGAAACGGCCAGCTCAGTAAAGAGCCCCCACCCCAAGTCTTCCCAGGCTGAGACTACTCTTTGGGATTGGCTTTGCTTTACTTTTAAGTCTTAACAGCATTTCTGCAGCTTAGGGATTTAGAACAGAGGAGAGAAGACCACCAATCATCTGCCACCCCGACATCATCATCTCAATGTGAGGCTATTTCTTCTGGCCTTGTCCATGTTCACTGGGGGTGCAATCACAGTGTGCATGTAGGCTGTCCCCCCCACACACACACTATTGCCATGGGCCTTCTGTGTTGCTCCTCCATCTTAAAAATTATTTTTGAAAGCTGAAAAATAATCAAATGCAGGTGTTCCATTGTTTTTTCAACCATTTCTGTCTCTTGGACATGCAGTGTTCTTGCATTCTTTAAAATCAATATTAATAATACCAGAGAACATCTTCTCCATAAAGCCCCTCCTCTCCTCGTCTTTGACGGGTGCAGGAGGGAGTCAGCCAACAGCTGGTACTTCTGCCATCAGCCCAGCCAAGGCTCAAAAAACCCCACATCTGCTCTGAGGGGTGCTTGCTCTGATATATTTTCAATGTGGTCCCCAGGCCCCCGGCTCTTCCTGTCATGCCCCATCGATGTGGACGGCTCACGGGTGTGGTTCACCGACCTGTGGAACTACTCCATTATCCCCTATCTCCTGGAAGCCGTGAGAGAAGGACTCCAGGTGAGAAGCACACCACTTTCTCCCCCTCAGAGTTGAGGAGGACTATCCTGGCAACCCGATGAGTTGGTCTTATCTTTTCCTTTAAGAATCTGACTGACATGAGGTGACCAGCCCTCACCTGTGTAGCCATAAGTCTAGCACAAGGTAGAAATGATTGGTTGTAAGTCCTGGTCCAGCCACTTACTGGCTGTGTGACCCCAGGCAAGTCATTTACCCTCTCTGTGCCTTTGTGCCCTCATCCATAGGAGAGAATGATAATAGTATTTTTGTCACAAAGAGTTTATGCAAAGATTAAATGGAATCATGGCCATAAAGTGTTCAGCATGGTTAGTGCACAAGGAGAGGAATTGTACATGTATGCAGCACTTCACAGTTTGCCAAGTATTCTCATATCTGCAAGCCCTGGATTAGTATTGAGATTTTTTTTTTTTTTGTCTCTGGTTGAAGGATCTGGAATTTGAGTCTATGCCTTCTGAGCTAAATTCCAGGCCGCCTAGCTCTTGGGCCCCAAGGTACTTACTATCTGGCATCAGGATAAGGCTACAAGTCCCTCCTGCCCAGTAGCAGTTAGAAAGCACAAACTCTTTACTGCTCTCTCAGTGCAGGGCTTAAGTGGGAGCATACTATTTCATTGCAGCTTGGGGTGGTTTGTTTGCTGAGCCTAGAGGCAGCCTGAACAATTCCCGGGCTCCCAGCACCCAAAGTGAGTATTTAGCAGGCATCCGCACAGCTGACTCATCCAACAGCCAGCTCTGCCCCAGGGCATCTTTGTTTCCTAGGCACCTGGCAGGGGAGATAGAAGATACAAGACAGTGCTGCAGGCTGTGGAGGCCCGGGGAGCAGTGTGTCCCCCTATGCATGTGTGTGACAGTATAAGTTAGTAGTTCCCGCCAGTGTTTGTCCTTTGTGTACATTTGGGTAAACTTGGGGGGGGTATTCGACTGCTTTATATGAAATACCGTGTAGCAGCAGCGAAAGCTCAGAGGTACTCGGGACAAAAAGAACTTGGAGAGGAAGCTCTTGTGCTGCTTGTGACTGGTATTTGATTGAACTGGAACACGTGTGCTGCACAGTCAAGCCACCGTGCTGAGATATAAGTACCCTGTGAAGGCAGAGAGAAGCAAGAAAGTGGGCAGGCTTTGGCCAGCCCCAATTCACTGGCTAAGTGCTCTGTCAAATATTGCTTTCATAAAAGGAAGCATGACAATCTCAGATCTTTGCAGTGGAATCTCCCTAGGTAGATTTGCCATCTTGGGTAGATTGGCCATAATTGAGTCTCTTATCAGATGGGTTTGTTAGTTCCACAAACCCAAACAGCCACCCCATGACTCCTATCAGTCCATGGAAATGCTTCCTGCTGACTGGGTTTCTGCAGTCTGTTTTAGAAACCTCTCTCCTCTGTTCCTGAGCAGTGGCTTCCAGGGACCGCAGTATATGTGATTCCTTGCAAAACCCAAATTGCAGCAGGGGAGGGGCAACCTCGGCTTCCGTTTCCACCTCCCCTCTAAGTTCTCCTGCTTGTTGCTTCTTTACATCCAATGTATCTTCTGAGGAGAGAAGTGACAGCAGAATCCTCTGAAGAGCTCAGCAAATTCTGTGGAGTAAAGGCTTCCCTTGCCCAAGGAGGCATGAACTGCAGGGGAGCCCATCTCCACTCCAGCCTTGAGCTGCGCAACAGCAGGCCCCTTATTAGTTACCGGCAGTTGGTGATGTCAAGGCCCTTCTTTGGGCCTAAACTTAAAAGAAGGCTTTTGGGGCACGGCTGTGGAGGTGGGCTCAGGACTCCCCTTCTATTCTAGGCAAGGTTGCTAGTGGGGTATATTCTAGAGGAGCACTGGGTCTCTTTCCTACCAAAAGGAAGTGAGGCCACAGGTAGAAGGGACTTAGAGATAGCTGCAGAACTACCTGTCCAACAGCCACATCAGTGTTTATAGCAGCACAATTCTCAGTAGCTAAACTGTGGAGCCAACCTAGATGCCCTTCAGTGGATGAATGGATTAAAAAAATGTGGTATATACACAATGGAATTTTACTGAGCAATTAAAGAGAATAAAATCATGGCATTTGCAGGTAAATGGATGGCACTGGAGAAGATAATGCTAAGTGAAGTCAGCCAATTCCAAAAAAACAAATGCTGAATGTTTTCTCTGATATAAGGAGGCTGACTCATAGTGGGGTAGGGAGGGGGAACATGGGAGGAATAGATGAATTCTAGATAGGGCAGAAGGGATGGGAGGGAAAGGAAGGGAGCAGGAGATTAGCAAAGATGGTGGAATTTGATGGACATCATTATCCAAAGTACATGAATGAAGACACGAATTGGGTGTCAACCTACTTTATATACAAACAGATATGAAAAATTGTGGTATATATGTGTAATAAGAATTGTAATAAAAAAAAATAGTTCCTTGTAAGGCTGGAAAAGTCATCATTTTCTTGGGCAGTGAGGTCACATGAAGGCCAGTCCTCCAAGAGTATAAGGAGCAGTGAAGGGAGGCAACCAGAGTTAGCAGTCTACCAGCTGCCTCAAAAGCAAGCCCCCCGCCCATGTCCTAAACCAGGGGCCTCTTTGTCATGCTGAATCCAGGGTACCTTATAGAAACTGCTAATTCACAAGGGAAATTGCTGTGTTCTTTGTGCCTCTGGTTTTGAAGGAAAGCTTGCTGATATTCATGAGAGCCTGCTTATAGACAAACCAAGGCTTGCAGAAGTTCCCAAATCTCACCAAACTCACTCAGTGGGGTGTGATAGAGTAAGCACTGGAGCAAGGACTGTCTGAATTCTTGTACACATCCTGCATGGGCCAGGGAAAGGGTTCCCATTAGGAGGGAGGGGCTGACTGAGGAATAAAAGCTAAGAAAATAGTACTAGAAAATAACCACAGGACACCAGATGTGTGGTTTCAGAGCTAGGGCAGCAACAGGCCAAGTTGACCAGAGGGATGCAGCTTCTAATGAAGAAAGGAGCGCCCGCCCTTTTATTTATGTCAGAACAGATCAAAAGGATTTGATAGAAAGTTCTTTGCAAAAACAGGATAGAGGTGGGGGCAGGTAGGCTGCTCCGTTTTTAACAGGTCATGACCACCTCGGGTACTGTGAGGGACCTTTTGGCAGAGCTGGGTGAGAGTTCACATGTATTAGGGTGTCCCAAAATCAGCAGGGGTGCTACTGGAAGTTCCCAGATACCAGATCTTCACACTCAGTGGTTTCCATGCCATTCTAGTCCATGCACATTTCACGGTTGGCTTCCTACACTGAATATTCTGGATATTTCCACGCTTTTTCAGGCTGTCCTGGGCATCCTGTATCTCTACCAGGAAGCTTCAGATAGCTCATGAGCAAAGTGTTATGTTTTATATAGCAGAGTTCTGTATGCAATTTTATTTGACGAAAGGATTCCATTATCTTAAAAAATAATTGTAGCAGGGCACAGTGGAGCATGCCTGTAATCCAAGTGGCTTGAGAGGCTAAGGCAAGAGAATCATGAGTTCAAAGCCAACCTCAGCAAAAGCAAGGCACTGAGCAACTCAATGAGACCCTGTCTCTAAATAAAATATAAAATAGGCCTGGGGGTATGGCTCAGTGGTCAAGTGCCTGGTACTCAGTGGTCAAGTATCCCTGGTACCCACCAAAAAATAATAATTGTAAGTTCCCCTCTTCTTGGTGTCCTCTGAGCCCATGTGTGCTGGGCATGAGTCATTTGCTCTTCATGTAACCCAGCCTCATGGCCAGGAAGTGGCTAAGCTTATAAACTGAGAGGTGGAGTCCATAGAATAGGTTCTGATGGGGTTGCCACACACTGTGAGCCAGGAAAGAGAGCTGCACATGGTGGCAGGATTAGTGGCAGTGGGGTCAGGGGGAAACTGTCCCTGCTGTAACTGGACCTCACCATCCCCTTACAGACAGCCCCACTAACAGGCACATCCATGCCAGGAGATAATGTGGTATTGCCCCCTAGTGGACACCAGTGCCCCCATGTGCTTCTAGGAGCCCTATGCATCCTACAGGGCCAGAGGAGCCCGGGTTTTACTTGACACTGTCTTAGCTCCCTGTTCCCATTCTTTCTCACCCAGTGGGGATACCAGGCTCCTTCCTTGCCTTGGGGAAGGTGATTGTTCTGTCTCTCTGTCTGTCCAACTGTCTCTGCCACTGCCCTTAGGGCTCTGCAGTGGAGTGAGGAGCTTTATGATAGTTCCTTTGCTTGCCACAGTACTCATTCAGCCATTCATCACCTGGACTTGAACACGTCCAGCAGTAAGTAGGGAGGCTTATAAAAATATTTTCTTTCCTTACAGATGATATTAGCTGCACCTAATGTGCATTTGTCTTATGACTCAGCCCCAGTCCTGTTCCCCTTTGGATCAGTCACTGGAGATACTTGCCAAAGTACTCTACAGTTTATAGAGCAACTCAAGAGACTCAGTGCCCAGGGCAGGACAGGTGCCAGAGGGACCCGTGGAGGGGCAAGCATGGGGCTGTTTGTCAATTGCCACGCCTGCTGTGAGACCCTGGGCCGTTGCCTGTTTGGGGGCCTCAGCTTCCCCATCTGTCAATTGCAAGTTGAGTTAGAAGACTTTTCAGTCTGGTTTCTTTGAGGCCCAGGAGTTCCTCAAACCACTCAGTGGGGGGGGGGGTCAGGAATAAAGAGCAAATATATGAAAATTGCTGGGCCAGATGACCTCTAGGACTTCCTGAGCTGTATCCTTTGAGATTCTGCAGCTTTGAGCATCTCCTCCTGTGGCCAAGGGAGAAGACAGAGCAGTAGCTATCAGAAAAGAGAGGCCAGTTTAGCCTCACACATGTGAAGTGTAGCTTGGAACAGTTCCATTAGGGAGTTCTTGGATGGAGAAATTTCTAGAAACTGCAGGATGTTTCTAATCTGGAACAGCCACCTTGGGCTGTAAATATCCCTAACTGCTTCTGTTTTCTCTTTTCTCCTGTCACGTATGTGTATGCACACATACCCCTTCCCATAATCCCCTCCTACTCAGACTATGAATTGCCTAAAGACTAAATTCCCAAGCTTGAGACTCAGCCTTGCTCCAGGTTGAGGAAGACATAGCAACAGACAGAGCACTAGACGGGAGGTGCCTACAGCACAGACATTATGTCTAGACAGCAGTGAGGTCATAGGAGGCTCTAGGTACTCTGAGTACAGAAAGAGGCAACACTAACACAGAGGTGAGCCTGTCCAAGATGGGACAGAGTTGTGGCATCTTGGACAGAAGTCTAGGGTGGCTCAAGTGATGGTGGGAGTGGGCCTTGCTAGAGGGAACCATGAGCCCTGCTCAGGCTGATGTGCTGACATCTGCTGCACAGCTCAGTCTCACTTCAGGTCTGTCTAGGCACATGGCTCTTGCTGATGCACAGGAGTTCAAAGCAGAATCAGTCAGTTGAGGTGGAAAGGGAATGACCCAGACAAGGGAACTGAGTCCCAGGTTCAGTTCCATCACCTCTCTATGACCTTCTATGATCGGCTCTGCTCTTTAGGCCCCAATTTCCCCAGCTGGTAAATGGGGTGGGGCTGGGTGGCCCAGCACCTTCCAGCAAAGCAGCCTATGACTCAGTTGTGGGTTTTTGAGTTCACAGCCCAACTCTGTTCTGCTCTCAGCACCTGGCTGGCTGAGTACCTCTTTCCAACTGCACATTCAGTGACATGTTGCTAGTTTGAAATTGGCCCCCTGGTGGGAGTATTTATACCATGGAAACAGGCAAATACTGCAAATCAGGCTGTTTTTCTCCCTAGTGCCAGTTTTCCAAGTTGGACCAACAAGGCCTAGAGGTGAGGGTTGCCCAGTGAGTCAGCAGCAGAGCTGAGAATAAGCACTAGTCAGACTGATTCCAATGCCTGTGCTCTTGACCACTAGGTCCTGCTACCTCAAGCTACTCACATCTTAGATAGCTTCCCTAGTTTGGAATTCTGGGAGTGGGATAATGCTGGGTGTGGGAGTTTTTTTCAGAAAGCTGTGGAATTGGGATTGCCAATGAGGTCTCAGCCCCTGTCCAGACTGATCCTTCTTTGCCTATTTCCAGCTCTATGGAAGGCGTGCCCCCTGGGAGGATCCTGCCAAGTGGGTGATGGACACCTACCCATGGGCAGCCAGCCCACAGCAACATGAATGGCCTCCCCTGCTGCAGCTACGACCTGAGGATGTCGGCTTTGACGGCTACTCCATGCCTCGCGAAGGGTCCACAAGCAAGCAGGTGCCCCCCAGTGATGCTGAAGGAGACCCACTGGTGCGTTTCAGCTCCCTGCAGCTCAGAATTCAGAGCATTTAGCTTATGGTGGGCGTAATTCAAGGCACCCTGGAAATGTGAAGGCAACTAGGCCTGGCCTTGCTGTAGAGGGCTGGGCCTACCCCAAGATTAGGGACAGTTTTGCCAACATTTTGTTCTATGGTTTTAGGTTTTCATTAAAGCCTTTAACCCTCCTGAAACTTTTTTAGCATAAAGTAAAATGTTAAGAGTTTGATTTCCTTTTCCCCCCCACTAAATGACCCTATACCTATTGTCACTACTGTACTGTTCTCACTCTGATTTGAGATGCCACCATTATCACGTATTATCTTATTCCTCTGATGTCTCCCACTAAAAACTGAGCAGAGGAAGAGCATGCTAAGGACCCAGAAACTAAGCCAAACAATGAGGAGCCTAGGCAGGGGAGGTTTGAGGACAGGAAGGATTCACAGAGGGCACAGGGGCCTGAACATGGGTCCCCTGGCTGATGAGATGATCTTTGAGCATTGTATTTACTCTTGTCATTGCTGAAGTCTTTCAGAAGTACCTAGACCAGTGATGGTAACACCTCTAAACAATTCTGTATTCTCTACCAATGTAGGGCTCATGCATGGTTTCACTGCTAAATTAGACCTAGCCAACCAAAAGCCCTTTATATCAAGGAGGAAGCAAACATATCAAAACCTCCCACAGTTAAATGACTATTGTTATGTCTAAAATTTAGCTCCAAGCTTTTCTGGCAGCAATGGCAAAAAGAAAAACACAGCAGAGATTATTACTTGCATTACCTAATGAAAGAAAATCATGAGTTACAACAGGATTAAAAGACAACTGATTCACTGTGCTGTCCTTACTGCACATTTGACTTGCCAGATAAAATAAAAATAGTAATAATAGGGTTGGGGCCATACCTTGGTGGTAGAGTGGTTGCCTAGCATGCACAAAGATCCCAGTCCTGAAAAAACATATATATATATGATAATAATGATAGTTATTTGTGTTGTCTGCCATCCATGTCTACAATGTAGGGGTGATCCCATTGATTTAAACAGGAACTGTATTTAAAGGAGTCGGTGTTTGTTGTTTCTATGTATAACCTAGTTAAACAATGGCTTCCTGAAGGAAACAAGCATACTTGAACAGCCATTTGTAACGTAACCACTGCCGAAGGCCAAGGTCATAGTGGTATTTTTGAGGTGTTAAACGCCTGGCATCTTAACCAAAAAATAGGATTTAGGGTCAGAGGCAGTGGCACATACCTGTAATCCCAGCAACTCAGGAGGCTGAGGCAGGAAGATTGCAAGTATGAGGCTAGCCTTAGCAACTTAGTGAGAGCCTGTCTCAAAAGTTAAAGGGTTGGGGAGGGGCATATAGCTCAGTGGTAGAGCTCTTGCCTCGAATGTGCGAGGTGCAATCCCTCATATATGTATATACCACCCTCCCCCCCACACACACACACAAGCACTCACACAATTTAGGCTATCTAGAGGAAATAATGGCTAGCCCACCCCCAGTTTTTCTTAGCTGGGGACATTTGTATCACCGACTGACCTCAGGAGGCTCCTAGGTAAGACCTGGGTTTCTCAGAACAGTCATGCAGAATCCTGTCTCCAACCCCGGGACCTTGGGAGCTGTGTCAGTCCAGCCACCACCACTTACCAAAGTATAATATACCTGGTATTTCTCCCCAGTCCCATTCTTACTGCCCAGGCTGTGGGTCTCTGTGATGATAGCTTTCCTGCTTCCTCGTGCTCTCCCTCATGAGACTGAGAACTCCGTAAGCATGAACTAACTTACTTTTATTCCAGAACCAAACACCATGGTAACACCAGGAATGTTTGACAAATGAGTAGCGAATCCCAGTGCCACTGGCTGGCTGTTGTGACAGCTCCACCTCTCCTCTGGTTATAGCTCTGCAGACAGACACCAACTGATGGTGCCAGTGGCCTGGCTCCCCAGGGAAGCTGCACAGCATCCTGAGAGGGAACTGGCTTTCACCCAGCACACCTGGCCTTAACCCAGAGATGCCCTGTCTCCTAACTTACTCGCTCTATGAAGTATAGAGCACATAAATTATAGTTATAAGTAAAATAAAAGTTTCTGATTCCCCCTCTCCATTCCCCAGGGGTCAATAGAATGTAGAGCAGGGAGAATTTATGAGATAAAGCAGGGAGGATATATAAGCTCCTCCCCTTCGTTTGGGTAAAGATGCAACAGATCAAATCCGTGATCACTTGCTGCATGCCTGGCCAGCCCATTCCTAAGGGGTTCATACATGTGTCATTCCTTGCTTTGGCCCTCTGAGGTAGGTGCTGCTGTACCTGCCACAGCAGATGGATGAGGGAGGGGTGGCTCAGGCACTTTATGTTATTGCCTCAAGGTTCCTGCAGCATGCTCCATGCCTCCACTATCTGAGGCTCTGCTCATAGCTGGCCTCGCCCCTGTGCCCTGCAGAGGGGTGGCTGGAGCACAGCTGGTTCCAGGCTAACTTTATCCAGAGTTCAGAATAGGCTTTCGGTCCCGTCAGAGGGAGTGGGATGGGGCATGCATTTTAGATGTCAGTGATGCTACTGTGCATTTCAAAAGCAAGGGTACTGGAATGTCATCTTGGCCCTGGCTATGTGCTATGCCTGGTAAGGCATGCCTCTCCCAAATAAAAATATATAAACGTGATCTTATAGAGGACCTTGTATTTTGTTTTCATTGCTCTGCATACTCTACATACTCAATGGGTACCATAACATTATAGATCAGGTGCTGTTATTACACACATCTGACCAATAAAGAAATAGGCACCAAAAGGTTAAGTAACTTACCCAAGGTCATGTAGCTAGTCAGGGCAGAAGCTGGGAGTTGAACGTGGAAGCCTGGCCCAGACTCCATGCTCTTGTCCACTGCTTCTGTTGTGAACTGCAGTCAGGGTGAGTCTGGAGGAGATGGCCTGAGCTTCCAAGAGGCCGGGTGGGCAGCTGACTAGGCCAACAGCTATTCACACCTCTCTGCTGTCTCCCCAGATGAACATGTTGATGAGGCTGCAGGAGGCAGCCAACTACTCCAGTCCACAGAGCTACGACAGTGACTCCAACAGCAACAGCCATCACGATGACATCCTGGACTCGTCCTTGGAGTCCACTCTGTGACAGGCGTCCAGCCTGGAGCCTGCTCTCCTCCTCATCCCATCCTCCTGCATCCTTCATGTCATCCTGAAGATAACTTCCTGAGCCAGCGCCCCCAGCCGCAGCTGTGAGCTGCAGAAATACTGAGACCCTTCGACCCTCAGCCTCGACCTGGGTGCAAGCATCCCAGGCCAGCCGCCTGGGATCACTTCCTTCCATGGTGAGAACTGCACTACCTTCTGTCGTACTCTAATTCTTGTTTTGCCTTGTTGCTGTGACCTCCCTAAGACACTGAAGATGCTTCTCGGGAAAGGATTGTCACCGTTGAAATGAAGAGTTTTCAGAAGAACCCACTGGAAGCTCTGAAACCAAACAGCATCCTGCCACGAGCTGCCCAGAGACAGAAGAGACTGGAACAAAGTTGGAAATATAGATAGCACGGCTTCTTCTCAGCATAGGCCCTCCAGAGTGGGTCTCGCCACCCGTGCCGCAGCCGCACCCACCTGCCCTCCCATCCAGCCCGCCACAGAAGAACTAACTGGTGCTAAATGGGGCACTTACTTTGGTCACCCTCAAAACACTGCAGAGCTCTGGCATAGGGAACCCTTAGGAGAAAACGCGTGCTTTTCTGTTTTTAAATGGTGCTCTCCTTCCCTGAGAGGTATTTTGCCTGTTCCAATTCAGCCCTCCACTTTGGGTCCATCAGCCCCCGATTGTCTGCAAGAGTGAGTGAGGGAGCGAGAATGCGAACCAGCAGGTGTGGCTGTAAATGCAGAACCGCATGTGTCTGTTTCCTTTCCGATATCTAATGAATCAGGTTTGTTGGTTTTTTGTTCTGTTTTGTTTTGTTTCCTGCAAACACTGTGTATATGTGAGAATTGCTCTATTTTGGAGAACAGGCAACCCCTCTAAAATGAGGATGAATCTCTCCCTTTCCGACTCATTCCTTTTGAAGATTTTTCTCCCTCCCTCTGGGTCAGAATCAATCCTTTGGTGACAGGACAAGCCACGGGGGTTGAGTTTTGGTTGGTCCCGCTGGGTTTGGGTTTTTAGTTGTCCATCTTCACAGTTCCACACGCTCCCCTCCTCCTGCTGCAGCTGGTGGTACCGTGTCCTTGAAGATGGACGAGGACCGGTCCTCCTCGTGTGGGGCGAGCCTTGGACCTTGCCTTCCCTTTTCGTCTTTGAGGGTTGAAGATGTGCTTCAACGCCTCGAGCACCCAGCCCCAGCCCAGCTGGGGTGGGGAGGTCACCTCACAGAAGACTTGCACTTTCCTCAGAACCAACTTGGTGCGGCTCAGCCAGGGCGGGGCAGCCACTGCCTCCCAGGAGCCCAGCCCCAGCCGTGCCTGACCTCTCGGTGCTGCCCTTCCCAAAGTGATGCCTTACTGGGTTTGTACTAACCGAGTTCATTCACCTGAGTGTCGTGTCGTGCCTGCCTGGGGTTTTTGTTTGGTTTTGATTTCCCCATCAAAGCAAACAGGGCTATGAAGTCATGTGTTCGTTAGGAGAACTCAACTCGCTGTGACTTTTCTCATCTAAAAGACTCATCTGTGTGGATGCTTGACCATGGGAAAAAGAAAATAAAAATCATCCATTTTTTAGGTTCATTGTCAGTCTCCAGCTGACAACCTGGCTGGACGGTGCTCTGCTCCTGCAGGAAAAGGCAGGAGTTCCCACCAGTCCACACAGCGTTGCTGGCACACGCCCTGAGAAACCCAGCTTGCCACCTCTTTGGCGCACTGGGATTTTCTTTGAGTGTAGTGTGTCTTTCAGGTTTTTTTGGTTTGTTTGTTTTATTGAAGAAAATCTTTATCAGGCCTCAGCGAGGGCATCCTTGTTAATGATCAGGGTTTTTATTCCATCTTTTGCATTTCTCTTTCCAAAGGTTTGTTTTTTTTTAGTTTCTTGACCCGAAACTGCTCACATCACTTGGAATGACACCATCTTCTTCCTCTTTGAAAGGACTGTGCCCCACTAACTGGTGAATAGAAAACCTTTCAACTCTGTGCTTCAGTCCCAGTTAAACTCAGACTCTGTTCTGCTCAGCCTTCGTTAGTCATCTGGGTGTTAGTGTGTCTTGTTGTTTTTTGTTTGGGGTAAGATTTTGAATCCCTATGTTTAGCCTGTGTCCAGGGGGCCAAACCCTCAGCCTTCCTGTAAACCTGAAGGGTGGCCCTTCTCAGACGATTTATCTCCCAGCAATGACCTTACACTCTCATACTGTGAATTTGGGAGGAGGTTAACTTGACCTTCTCGTGGGCAGTTTTCCCAGTCACCCTGTGAGTAGACACCTGCCAATACTGTTTGAAACATTTTTGTCTTCAGTGACACCCTCTCTTTTTCTTTTTTCCCCCCTGTCCTAGACTTCCCTCCCACTGGGTCCAGGCTCAAAACCAAGACCTCTGTGCCTGGTGCTGCCTGATGAGTGAGCAGTGATTCCACGTAGCAAACCCTTGTGTGATTCACAACTCAGTGTCCTTCCTAACATTGTGGGAAGCAGGGTTGTCTAATATGCACCGTTCTTATTTTGGCCATATTTTTACATCAGTGTCACTCACCTTTGACAAAGTGACTTTGTACTCATTTAGGGCTCTGTCTAAAATGCTTCCATTTTGCCTTTTTATACAGTTAGGCTAATTTTGAAATGTATGAAATTCTATGCAACAATTTATGTTGAGTTACCAATGGAAGCCAAAAGTTTTCTTCCCAAACTGCCAAGAATTATACAGGCCATAAATGAGATGGGAATAAACCTTTTAATTTAAGGTTGGGAATGGGGTGGGGTGGGACAAGGAACAAGACTTGCCTAGACTCTTGTCTTATCTTGGGGACATTTTAAATTTTATTGTTTAATGCTTAAACTTCAAAATTCTGTGTATTCAAATTTGATTGTGGTGAAATCTATTTCAAAAGGAAAAAATAATAATCCAACTTTGTGGATATTCAACGGAAGGTTTGCTGTTTTGACCTAATTGTTTCCAGTGGAGCAGTTTATGAAATATGTTCTATAAGATGTACATTTTTTCATTGTAACATAGAAATTGTAAATAATTGATTAAAGTGCTGCATTTTGATGAATTTTTTCTAGCCATTTTTAAAGAGAAAACTAGGAATTGAGTATTTTGTGTACGGTATGTTTCCACCCTCCCTTCCCTCCTCCTTCCCCCCTCCCTATTTAATTTTCATTTGTCATGAGGTTTTTGGATTTGCCAATGATCTGCTGGAGATCATGCCCCACGTCATAGAGAATAAAGCTGATGATTGTACCAGTCTTAAATTATTCATGATTCAATAAAATTGATGCTTATTTATTCAGATTAGTGGTTTGGCTCATCTGTGTTACAGCAAGATCTCCTTGGAGTTCAACTTCATGCCAAGAGCAAGTCGATCTTCTCTGGAGGCAGCAAACACAGGGAAAATCCAAAACATTGATTTGCAAGCCCATCTTTGCCAGGATGTAATCATTATACCATCTCTTTTCAATGAAGTTATCACAGCTCACTTGGCACTTGTTAGAAATGCAGAGTTCAAATCCTGTCAGTCCTTATGAATAAGGAGGATCTTGTAGAAATATGGGTGCTGATTCAGAAGGTCCAACGGCACCCTCAAGATTCTCAATTTCTTTTCTTTATTTTTTTTCATTCAAAAATTTTTTAATTATGCATGTTTATGCAGCATGCTACTTTGCTACATGTATACAAATGTGTATGATCAAATCAGGATGATGAGCATTTGTCTCTTTAAACCTTGACCATTCTTTTTGCACTGGGAAACTTCAAACTATTCCAGTTCTTTTTAAAACACACATTAAATTGTAAGCTAGTCACTCTGCTGTGTTGTAGAACACTAGAACTTACTCTACCTAAATGTGTTGGTAATTGTTAATCTCACCTTCCTCTACCCCTCCTCCCTGTTGCTCGTCCCAGCCCCCTAGTAATTACTAGTATGTGCTCTTCAACTCTGAGATCAACTTTTTATCTTCTACATATAAGTGAAAACATGCAGCATCTGTTTTCCTGGGCCTGGCTTGACTCTCTGAACATAATTTCCTCCAGTCCCACCTGTCTTGCTGCAAATGCCAGACTCTCCTTCTTTATGGCCCAAGAGCACTCCATCACGTGTTCCTTATCCATTCATTGTCAAGAGACTCTATATCCTAGCTATTATGAATAGTGCTGTGGTAATTATGGGCATACAAGTATCTCTTTGGAATACTGATTTCATTTCCTTTGGATGTACATTAGTGGAATTGCTGGATCACACGGTAGTCTATTTTTAATTGTTAAGGAACCTCCATACTGTTTTCCATAGTAGCTGCACAAATTTACATTTCAACCAACAGTAATAAGAATTCTCTTTCTTCACCTCCTTGCCAGCATTTGCTATTTTTTGTCCTTTGGATTATAGCCATTCTACCTGGGATGAGATGCTGTATCAGATTTTCAACTTCTAACACTCCTGGGGGTGTCAGTGCTCTGCTCCCAGGACCATACTCAGGAGCAAGCAATGTCAGTATCCATCTGGCCCCCACTTGACCCCTTAGCATGAGAGAGGTTTTTATTTTTTATTTTTTTAAATGCACTGAGTACCTACTAATTGCCAAATGTTTTCCAAATACTCCAAAATAATTTGCAAAATGACCTTGGGGAGGTTTTCTTACTCTCATTTTACAAATGATAAAAACAGACTCGGGACTTGACAAGGAACCTGTAGGTAAAAGGTGAGAGGACTGGAATCAGCCCCACCTTCTGGTGTCAAGTCCTGCCTCAACAGGCTGTCTTGGGGGGCCTCTTCCACATTGCGGTGGTCATCCACAGCAGACACATTTGGTGGGAGATGACATCATACCTTAACATTCACTTTTAAGAGCAACAACAAAAACTTTAAAGGCCTGGTTGGAAGCAGAGTCGTGTGAACTCACAGTGAAATCCATCCTATACAGCTGGTTCAACTGCTGTCTACATGAAATGTCTAACCCATTATGCTTGATGATGACCCAGCCAGTGGGGATATAAAGAATCCAGATGTTTAGCATGGGCAGTTCTTAACGTTTATCCAAAAAAAGAAAAAGAAAATAGTGATTGGAAGATGGTACCTGGTTTGGCAATGAGAAGTCTTGAATTTCAAGATTTTCCATGTCAAATATGTGATAGCATTGCAACACAATAAATTCTGCTGTTTCCTAGGAAAGGGGACCATCATACAAGTGTATGGTGGGCCAGATGACTTTAAATAGAAGGGAAGGAGGAGAACTTGCCAGACATTGTAATGTAAGTTTCATTTTATCACATGCAATCACAACACCTGTGAGGGGGATATTTTTATCTCCACGTTACAGTGGAGAAAACTGAGCCTGAGTAATGTTAAATAACTTGCTATATGGTAGAAATGGAATTCTCAGTTTATTTGATTCTAAAATCTATGACATTTCTGCTTACAGAACTACCATCCATCTAGGTTGGACTTTGAGAGGAGGATCACCCAGCCCTTCTGTACATGTCATCTATTGCTCCTGTAACAAAGAACACCTGTAACAAAGAGCACTGAGAAAGGAAAAGATGGATATCAATTCCGGCCTTGGGTCCAGGTGTAGCAGTAGAAAATGCTGCGTTGCATGCAACTAAAACACTCTGGGGCCACTCCGGGGGAACTGGGCTGCGCAAAATAACCACACGAGAGACAGAAATTCACTTTTTTCTTTGGGGGTGCTGTGATGGCTCCTCTGGCCTTAACGGTCCGCAGGAAGAGAGAGAGGGAGCACGTGCTGACCCCAAATTTACCAACTTAAGACTGGAAACATTTTCTCATAATTTCTGTGGATCAGGAATCCAGCCATGTTGGCTGGGCACTTTGCCTCAGTTTTTTCCACAATCCTGCAATCAATGTATGTTAAATATTTACAAGGTATATTTAAAAGCCAGAACTACAGGGGTTGGGGCTAAGGCTCAGTGGTGGAGCACTTACCTTGCACTGTGAGGCACTGGGTTGGATCCTCGGCACCATATAAAAATAAATAAATAAAGATATTGAAAAATATATTTTTAAAAAGTTTTTAAAAATCCAAAACTATAAGAAGTATCATATTTAATAGTTAAATGGTGAGTGGTTTCTGTTTTAGATTAGAAGATAGAAAAAGATGCCACTTCACTGGACTCCGTGGCACATGCCTGTGATTCCAGAGACTCAGTAAGTTAAGGCAGGAGGATCACAAGTTCAAAGCCAGCCTCAGCAACTTCATGAGGCCCTAAGCAATTTAGTGAGACCCTGCATCAAAATTTAAAAAAAATCAAAAGATCTGGGGATGTAACTCAGTAGCAAAGCACCCCTGGGTTCAATCCTTAGTGCCAAAAAAAAGCTTCTTCTTACCACTTAACATAGTGGTAGAGATTCTAATCAATGCAGGGGAGAAACATAATTTAGGAGGATTGAAAAGGAAGAAAGTAGACTGTCTTTATTCATGAGTAACACTCTAAAGATAATCCAATAGAATTCACAGGTAAATTATTAGAAATAATAAGCTTAACAGGTTTTCAAAATTAGTACACAAAAATCAGTTGAATATATGTAGTCAAAGTTTTAAAAATTTTTAAAATACCAGCTAAGAACAAAAATGTTAAATACTTAGGAAAAAAATACAATATAGGAAATTTATAAAATTTATAAATTTATAAAATACAGCTGCAAGAAAATAATGAAAACAAAGGAAAATGATGTTTATAAATTTAACAACATGATGTAAAGTTGTCGGTTTCTCCAAGATAGACCATAGATTTGACACAATCCCACTCAAAAACCCAATTTAGTTGTTTTTGTTGTTTTTAGTGGAATTGACACGATTCCAAAATATATAGGGAAAAGCAGAAAGTGAGGCATAGCATGAAGAAGAACATGAAGAAAGGCCTTTCTCCAGATACCAAGACTTACGAAGGTCATTAATCAAGACAGCGTGGTATTGGTACAAGATTTGAGACAACAAGATAGACATCCCCCGGATAAATCCAACACCCACTTGCTTTACTACATGGGACTGTGAATAATGTCTCAGACCAAAGGACCTGTTTTATGGAGGAGATGTGACAGAGGACACAGGACAATAGGATCAACTGGTTCCTATGATAAAGCTGGAGATTGGATTGTCCTTTTAAAGACTCAACAAAACCACCAATTTGGGAAAGACCTGAGTTGGAGCACTTTACCCTCCTAGAAACAGTATAAGTTTTTAACCATCAGCCATTCTTCTTTGCCAGGAGCCCCAAAGCTAGAGTGCGTGCATCTGGGAACCCAGGAGTAGAAACAGACCCAGCAACCCACTGGGTGGTTTCTGCTTCTCACTCCTGCGACTTAAGGCTCAGCAAAATTAGAAGTGCTTGTCCCTGGAATGTGTGAGGCAGAGCAGGCAAGAGGACGACCCCTCTACTCTTCTATCACTGAATTTAAAACTACAACTGCTGCCTGATCTCTTGGGACTGCTGACCCCCACAGCCAGCAGAATAAGAAAAGGGTTGTTATGCTGTCAGGGGTGATGCGCCTGGTTATTCTGAGACACCAAGGCTGCTGCTACCTAATGGAAAGAGGGATAGGGGGGACCTGGAAGAACTTGGATGACTCTCCAGGGTACCTCTTGGTATTTATTTCCCTGCTTGGTGATACCTATGAGCAGGCTGAAACAGCCCAATGAGAGAAAGGTAAATCTGCTGCCCACTTCTGGCATGAAGATCCAGGTCATCCCTGAGGCAAGCAATGGACGTGCTGGATGAGGAGGAGCATGATATAGAATGGAGCACTGAGAAAGGAAATTATGGATATCAATTCCGGCCTTGGGTCCAGGTGTAGCAGTAGAAACTGCCGTGTTGCATGCAACTAAAACACTCTGGGGCCACTCCGGGGGAACTGGGCTGCGCAAAATAACCACACGAGAGACAGAAATACTTTTTTTGGGGGGTCGCTGTGACGGCTCCTCTGACCTTAATGGTCCGCAGAAAGAGAGAGAGGGAGCACATGCTGACCCCTTTTATTGAGGAGAAGCCATTCAAATGAGACAAGGGGTCAGGTTTCAGGGGGCTGAGACTAGCTTCATGATGTCTGCTGTCAGCAGGTTGACTGACATCTGGGTAGGCCACAACCAAGGGCAGTGTGAGAGAAGGGGACACACAAAGGGCATTTCCATGGAACATTCTATCCCAAACAGGGCAAGGGGTAATATCACAAAGGAACAGGTGAGCGTAGCTCAACCTCTGGGGATATAGGAAGGCACGCTCATGCATGAAGACACATTTGCATTTTCTCAACCCTAAAGATCAGGGCTAATATCTTTG